ACGTGTGAATGTACGGAGAGCTTCGAGCAAGAAGTAAAGTTCCTGAAGAATAAATGCAAAGAACGTAGTGTGAAACTTCAACAGTACGGGGCAATAAGAAGCAGAGTAACACCCTCAACTTTGAACGATGAATGCCATCATATTCAGGAGAGGAGAGATAGGGAGGCACTGAAGACTTTAGAAAGAAAAATTTTGATTGGATTTCAGAAATTGAAAGACATAAGGAGGAAGATGGCCGCATATATGGAGAGAAACGGCGGAAAACTACTTTCAGATGAGAATGAGTCCACTCTAGATTCAAATGATGAAGATAAGTCTTCCTCAGAAGGAAATCATGAGGATGATCCTGATTACGAAGCGGAGAGTGTATCTGAAAGAGAGCAAGAAGGTCTTCTGATTAGATTTGGGAAGCATCGCGTACTAGTTTCTAGTGAGACATATTTCGATATGGATTGGAAAGAAGAATATGGAGGCAAAAACCATGCATATTACTGCAGAAAATGTCCGAGGCATTTCAAAACAACGTGGAATGTACAGGACCATGTGTGGCATCGCCATTTTGGAGGGAAATACAGATGTGTACTTTGTTTTCATGGCTACACAACGCGGAGCCATCTGATAGTACACACAAAAAAACAACATATCAACGTAAATCATTGCGATGAATGAACTGAATAGAAAAACAACTAAATGCTCACAGAAAGTAAAATGTTTGCCCAACTTTAATATCTTAATTCTGCTCTAATATTTAACAGGCTTTCAATTTTTTATTTCAGCTTTCCAATTTTCTAAAAATATCGATGCAATTTCCACTAAGTAAATGAAATTTACTATCAAATCAGAATCTCATGGTACCCGAATCATTTTTTCAACATCACTAACAGTCAACACTTCGAGGATATTCTTTTCTGATAAATTCAAATCTAAGAATAATAAACATGTTTTTGTAAGGTTTTTTGGGGGGAAAAATGGTAGCTGTGACGTTATGAGTTTTACCCGTTTGGTAAAACTCAAATTAAAGGATAATTCTTCTGCTAATCTCTCGATTGTTAATCCTTTCCTGGTTCACTCCTGCCTCGGCTACTTCGGCGGTGAGCTCACGGGGGGTCCGCTCACTCGGAGGGATGTTAAGGATGGAGGATCGTGGAGGGGTTAAACCTCTTAGTAAACACTCGCGTACAGTTAGATAAAAGTATGATATATTGTCTAACTTGATGGTGAATTACACGATATCTATATTGATGGGTCGGTTTAACGCGTAGTTAATGGTGTTTTACTCGACTGAGACTCTGACTTGTGGTAGTCTTATCTGGCTGAAGGCCTGAGCTTTGACAGATCCTTTCTGTTTCGCTCTCGATCGTGCTCTGCCGTACCCTGGTGCTTCCAGAGTCCTCGAAACTCATCAAAGTCTCAGTTTGCTGATCTAAGCAATCTCACGGTTTTTCTCACTAACACAGTCTTGTGTCGTCATTGACACAAACTACAACAGTCAAACAGTTCGGTACCCCCGAACTGGACTTGTTGAAAACCGTGGGACTGCTTACCAAAGTGTCCAACTGACACCCTGGAATGGCTGACCATTGTCTGGATGGCAGGAAAGAGAAATCATATTTCTCATTCCTCTCATCCACCATTTATGTGAACATTTCACATAATTATTAACTAAATCGACGTATTGGTCTTTCCCAATACGTCACAGCTGTAACAATTTTTTTAAAAACTCCGTCACTTTCATCTAGTCCCAAATATTTTTCCAAAAAATGACTGCAAAGGACAGCGGATTCGTCTTGTTTCACGACTGCTGTTAATTGGGAATAGACGGAAGTGAATTAAAACGGTATAACCTGGTGTTTTGAAGATTCGGAATTATGCGTAAAATACAGAGAAGTGGAGCATTACGTGGATTATTCAAAGTATTATTCAAATATTGTTAATTGAAAAACGTCAAAAGTCACACTTTACGATATCTTGAAGTCGAGAAACGCCAAAATATAGGGATGAATCATAGGTGGAATATAAAAAAGGGAATAATTCACTCTTTCGCCCATTTACTTGATGACCTAAGATAAGAAGGCGAGAAAATGAGTTGTCACAGGACGTCGACTCTAAGCGAAGGATTCCCCCATTTTTCTACAGTTTTGGATTCTGTGAAACGAACTCAATCTCCCATTCTGTGTTATACCGATTCGCTGAACATTAATATAAGGAGAGAGGTGGGTAAAATGGGCCTTTTCCAGTTGTCAATAAAGCGAGATTAGTAGAGTGAACTTCTAATTTTTTTTTCATTTGAGGGTATTTTTTAGACGTCAAAACGGGACTTGACCCATCTAAATTACATAATTCGATCAGGACGTATTGATGGTTTAAAAATGTTTATTCTATCTCACCTTTTCTTACTAGAAATAAAGTACATGTGTTTTGATTAAATTTTAGAAAATAAAACTCATACTTACATGGCATGAATGAAAATAATTTCCCCTACAATTAAAAAACTTCAATCATTGACATGCATCTAAAAATCTTCATCTTTCATGGCATCTTGTTAGAAATTTAGGTGTTTTATCTTTTGTACCTCTAAAGCTGCTGAGAATGACAACAATCGTAAACAAAATAGGTCTATCCATGGAGGACACGTTCCCGATTATAATTATTTCTTCATGTCCTAAGATTTAAACGAAATTAACTTTCGACAAGCATTTTTAGAAGATAGAAAACATTTTCCATCACGCACTATTCATAAAACTATTCTTAACATCTGAAAAATATTCATCTGAAAATTAATAATCACCTGATATTAGGGAAGTGGTATTATACAGATGAAATCAGGCTCAAACAATGATTATTATCTGCAATTATTTAGTAGCAACTAGGGAGAAGTATTAAATCGTTTATTTTTTCTTTCAATCTACATGAACTTGCATTATGCTTCAATATTTGGTGGCTCCCACTGTTCCTCCGTGAGGGCTCCTGACGGAAGTTTTCACAATAAGCTTATTTGAATTACACTATAAATGATTCTGCATACTACTGCTAGTGATGAATCAGTGTAAGTTTACAGTTTTCTCGATAAATATCTTCATCATTATTGAATCAACCTGTCGAAAGTTTTGGAATTTAATTTAATCAACAGCATTAAACTTTATGCAAAAAATCTTCGATCAGAACCGATAACTCGATACTTTCCATATTGAATAGGAGAATCCTGAGAATTCTCCTCTTGTTCTGCTTCGACTGCGCTCATCTCAATTCTGTGATCAACATCATCAAAACCTGCCTCTGGTGAAAAATCATTGTCGCAATTTGCATCTGTGGTAATGTCATCACCATAATCTCGATCTGAAGCTGACTCATGACGATCACTGGAGGATGACACGCACGAAAAAATTTAATAGAAAAACGTATCGAATTCGATTTTTCTATATAACTTATTCTTTTCATATATTTTCTATAGAATTTGCTCGACTCAAATTTTCCAAGTTGTTTTCATTCTATTTTTCTTTTCTTCTCATCAAGAAAATCAAATGAAAAAACTTATAAAATTTGAGCCGAGGAAATTCTATAGAAAATAACTCAATAGTGCTGGAAATAATATTAATTGCTTGCAGGGAATATAATATAATAACAATTTATTGGAACATCTTCAGACTAATTCTTAGAAATTTGTAGCGTGAAATTTTTTGGTTCAAATGAAAGTCGTTTGAGAATGTGTTGTTATTTCTTTCAGTGGACCTTCAACGTGGCTCTACTTACTGTCAAATACACAAATCCCTTTACTCGTTCAATTTCATGTTAAATAAAATGCAAGACCTATTACTAACATTGGAGTAAGCACTCGGACTCGTTTCCGACAATGGAACAACAGCAATTGTTTCATAAAATTCCTAACTAGATGAATGGGAGAAAAATCTCTGTTCGCTAAAATCTAACTCCGAAGGTCCAAAATGCGATCAACTTTGAATGAACAACTGTGTTATTCATTCACGAAAACATTTTCAATTTTTATTTCGCAACATAGATGTGAGAGCCACCAAGTCGGCTTTAAACTAACTTCTCTTGGGGGCCAACCAATGAAATCTCTGGGAGTGAACCAATGATAGGCCTCAGTCAATGAGATCACTGGGTTCTCCGTGATTTCATTGGTTGGTCCCCAAGAGAGTAGCTAGTTTCGAGATAACTTGATGGATCTCACATCTGTTGCGATCGTGAATAATAAATGGAAAATAATTAATTTGTGAAAAAAAAGTGGCAACGTCGACTTGACATAATAGGGTTCTCGCTGTACAGATATAGTGACACGATAGACGCATGTAATTTTTTTATTCAATCACGAGTCGTTTCTGCGAAAAATTCATCACCCATATCGTTCTAATTAACTATCGATAAGAAAAATAATAGCAAATGATTGTCAGGGCCTTTCTACGAAGTTACCGCAAACAGAGATCACTTTAGATCCGCAACTCTTTTTTATACAGTTATGAATTTACCGCATCAATCCCCATCCGATGGACAGGTGCTACATTATCACCGTTCACAGCTGTGCGCGCAGAAATTATGTTTGCTAGTTTTTTTTGTTAATGTTGGTTAAAAAATGTTCTGAACACAATTTTTCTTGCAGAAGGTGTATTTATCAGTATCTCACATGTAGACAAAATTTCGTAATATTGGTTGTACGTTTACGTTCATGATGTAGATTTTTATACATTTGCTATAAAAACACGAGTTAAATTGCGTTTTTTAAAAAACAATTTATTTTACTTGAACCATTCTCTGCAGCAATCTGAAACTCCACACAGGACTACGGATCATATCGAAGAATGTATTTAAAAATTTCACAACTTGGCTGCATTTTGTTATTTCGACGGTTCATCGTTCAACTAAATAGCAAATGAATTGGAATGTCAAACAAATTTCACTGCAAAGGCTAAAGATATTGCTCTAAGTAAAACGACTTGGATGATGCTTTCACCTTACAAATAAAAACAGTACAATTAATACACAAGTCAACTCTCAGTAACTATTTATTCATTCATACAACGAAGAAATGCAGTAAAGAAAGAATGCGTGAAAAAAAGATAAAGTATCTTGTCGAGTAACTCATGTTGAGCCCACTATCTCATGTTTATCTACCGTCTGGACTGAAGTACATCATTGAAGAATCAAGTGATTCATTCAATACAGGCTGTTGATTCTTCTTTGGAGTTGGGATGTCCATGGACGAATCCTCCACCTTTATGCTAGATTCCATCTCACTCTCCTCATCCACTTCTTCAGCAGCCTTTCCAGTTCTAGCAAGAAGATCTGGAATATTCCTCCACAATGATGTCGTAGTGGACTGCAGCTTCATCAGTGTTGTTCTCAGCTCAGTCTTGTCTCGTTCCAAGGATTCCTGAGTCAGTAATATTGAGGCCAATTGCTCTCGTACTGCATCACGACTCTCGGTGATCTCTGCGATTTTCTTCTTCAGCTTTGCCTGCGTATCCCGTGCCTCTCGTTCACTCTCAACCAACTGTGACTCCAACTCTTGGATCCTTCGCTTGTAATCCTTGGATTGATTCTTGAATAATTTTCTCTCCTTGTCCACGAGACCTAGAACTGAGACTGCTTTATCGACTTGAGGGGTCAACTGCTGTCCTGCTGAGTAGGAGGAATCGAGAGTCAGGTCGAGAGTGGTGTCGTTTTGTTGATGCATCTGGAAATTTTATGATTTGATTACTCTCAGAATGAGAATAATGAATGACGATGGATTGATGTATTTCATTCGAAAAAGGCAGATGATGATATTAATCGGAAATTTATATACGATTTTCATATCATTTGGACTATGGACGAATATTTCTAGAATGTTTCGATATCTAGTTTTCAAGTTGGTAGCCTACAGACATTTTCGAATTATTTCTCTGTTCGGAATTCCTAAAAATTGTGTTTTATTGGTTGCTCTCACACGTCGAAAGCACTGGGAAGAGGCGCTGATATTGAGGAAATAGATTTCTGAATCAACATTGAAAGAACATTAGAAAACTGCATTATAATAGTATATTTCGACAGGAGTGAGACGGAATTTTCACGACGGTGAAGTTGACTGCCCGAGCCGAACTCGAGGAATGCATAATTTTTCTTCACAGTGTCCGTAAACGGCATTTTACGGACACGAAGTGTGCGTAAAACGTTTTACGAACCGTGTGATAAAAAATATTTTTTCGTTTACATAAGCAAAAAAGATGTAAGGGACACATTTCATGCCCTTAAAATAATATTGAATTTAGAATGAGTATCAACATTTCGATGAATAGACGAAAACAATTTATGCAGATTTGTTCTTTGAATGTTCCCACAAAACTTAGTTTTTGGCTTACCTAATCACGGGTAGACTTCGGTTAAAGTTACGTTAATATGTATCGAGAAAAGATCGCCGATTGATCGGGCTCAGTAATGGGGGATTTTAATTTAACTTCAACGATAGGTTAAAGGTCTTGAACCAAAAATTGGCCTACGTTTTTTTTATTGGCCTAAATATATCTACGAAAAAGTCGCATTTAGACAATCCTAATGGTGTGATTTCGTTGAAGGTATTTCACTTAATTTTATCAACAAAATTGTTATTATTGCTAGGTAATGATTGTTATTATGACTTTACCCTCTACGGTTTGGTCAGGAGGGAACCGCCGAATCCCCACCTTCATTAGTACATTTCGACACTAGGTCGTGAGGAACTCTTCTGGCGAATATGTTCTGTAAAATCACATGAGGCGTAAAGTTGTTCACGGCCGTGTATCGAAATTGTATTTTTCCTCTTAAAACTCGTCTGGCGTTGGCGTCCGAGCCGAAGGCGAGGACTGGCCAACCACACGAGTAAAAAATCGCATCGCAGTAGCCCGGGACAAGATTTTTTTGTAGTGATTTTCAAGTTTTCGAGTTTGGGAAGTATACAATACCAATTCCCAGACGAGAAATCGTGAGAAGCAGTACAGAAATAGTATATTATGTCATTAGCGGATAAAAGCATTATCTGGCGATTGTGGCTTTATAATCCGAGCCTTCGGCTCGGATTATAATCATATTCGGAAGATAATGCTTTTATCGCCGTGTGATATACGCTATTTTATGTCGTTGGGCCCGAAAACCGCGATCTAACCGAGCGAAGCGAGGTTAGATTCGCGGTTTATCCGGCCTAATGACAAAGTATTTTTTGCCATTGGGCCCGAAAACTTTCGTCCGATTCTCCAAGGATCGAACCATGGATTCTCTCTCTCTCCTACAATTATTGCACTGCACTACAGAATTTTCTTCCGACCAAAATTTCATTGCTATATGACATTTAAGACTTCACTTGAAAACGATGGATGGGTGGATGTCAACGAGGTGTTTTTCAAAGTTAAAAAAAAACAAATCAATCATTTTTCCTTTTTTCCCATTTCCGACTTTCCGAGAGCTCAATAATTAGATTAATAATGATTAATTATTAATAATGATTAGTTCAATAAAAAAAACAGAATAACTCTCGAATTCCTGTTTCAGATATCTCGTTAACCCATGCACAAAACCACAAAACGAGGTCAAATTTTATTGCACAGAATGCGTTGCTGTCTTATCAAATGTTTATTCATTGACTTACGTTGGAAGGAGTTGAATTCCACAAGTTTTAAGAGTGCAAAAATTATTTTTCAAGCGGTATACGTTTTGTTCACAAGTTCTAACGCGTTCTGTAACGACGAAACAACGTGCAAAAATGGAGGCGTTCTCGTTGCTAGGTTCCCGTCGTTACGTCTAGTCTCACTGAGAGGAAAGGACAACAGCTGACGTGCGCATAGGAATGCGCGGGAGGAGTTTACCCCGCACCACTTCTCCTCCTTTATCAATTGGCATTAGCGGTACATTACGAACAGAAATGCAACTGCGTCACATGAGCTAATAGCCTCACCCTCCCCCAAAATCGCCTATTTAATCCATAACTTCCTTCAAATTGCATATTTCGATAAGAGAGACGGAATTTTCACGCATGTGAAGTTGGTGACATGAGGCGAAGCCGAGGGCTTTCAATCACACGAGCTGAAAATTCCCGTCTCACATGTGTTGAACTAGTATATTTCGTTACGAGTGCGGAAAAGTGTTTTTTGGCTCGTCGGAGGTTTATAGCACGAGCCGAAGGCGAGAGATATAATCCCATGAGCTAAAAAACATTTTTTCACGAGTTACGAACAATATTTTTCATCACGCTGTGACGAAAAGTGAACTTTTTGGCACGCTCCGCGTGCCTAAAAGTCCACTTTCCGTGGATTTCCGTGGCCACATTGTGATGAAAAATATTGTTCGTAACTCGTGAAAAAATGTTTTTTAGCTCGTGGGATTATATCAAACCTCCCACTCGCCAAAAAACACTTTTTTGCACTCGTTACGAAATATACTATTTCGTCACAGCGTGATGAAAAGTAACTTTTTAGGCACGCTCCGCCTGAAACGTCCCTTTTCCACCCATTGTGATGAAAAATATCGCTCGATACTCGTGGGAGAAGCGTTTTTTAGCTCGTGGGATTATATCACTCGCCTTCGACTCGTGCTATAAACTTCCCACGAGCCAAAAAACTCTTCCACGCTCGTAACGAAATATACTATTAATGATAACACACATCAAAATCTCCCGCTCTTTACTCCAAAACATCCCAAGTAGCAAACCTTGCGAAAGATATCTGAAAGTATACCAAAAGGCCTGACTAATGTCCGTCCAAAAGGTATCTTGCAGTCATACGATAACTTTTAGTTAACTTCTAGGTAACTTCTAGACACAAGTTACCTTTTTGGGAAGACATTAGACAGCCTTTTTGGTATACTTGCAGATACCCTCCAGAACTGTGCTGCTTGGGATAATGCTAATCCCTCCATTACCATCTCCCCATCTTAATAACGTAATGCCCCGTCAGAGGGACAACGGCCGCAAGACATATCAGTCAGTGCCAAAAAAGTAGAAGAGAAGAAGAAGAAGAGAAAAAAGCGTCACATGAGTCGTCGGTCATGTGACTGTCATTGACAGTCACTTAACGAGGCAGTTATGATGGCTGTCACATTCCCTTCCCCCTCTCCTTTGACCGTCACAAGTTGCCTAGAAAATATGAGTCCTTTTTCATTTAGATGTAACTTCCTTTTTCTTTTATCAATTTTTCTTTGAATTTATTTTGCATTTGCCTAATGTGCTTTTTGAAACGAAAATCAAGGTTATTTTTCATCTGTATAGATGAAACTTTTTTTTAAATTTATGACTGTCACAAATTTGCAATTAGTTATGACTGTTATTATGCATCTATCCAGATGTTTTGAAAACAATTCGCTTACAAATTATTTGTGATCATCGTTTCTAATTAGAAAATTTGTGCGTCACATGACCGCGATTTGTGGTCATATGATGCGATGTAGCAAATGACGGTTATTTTGCATCTCTAATTGCGAAATTCATTAGATGTAGTTGGAGTGAGTTCTAAAACAATCCGATTTCTTCCAATTCTAATGGACCAATTTAATTGGTAAGAGCTCACGAAAAAAGTCGAATTCAATAATGTTCCTTTATTTATTTGCAACAACTTTTATCTTTTGCAAAATTTTGATTAACTCATTAGTTGATGAGATATACGTGACGAAAGAGTTACGCTGCCGATCGCTTGCGTCCAGCCGCGCATGGGCACACGCTCTGTGGAAAACTTGATCCACGTTGAGGTGGCAGTTGCGACTTCAGAAGAATTTTCCCCATTATTGAATAAAACACCGTATCAATCTTGGATAAAATTTGACTAGATTTCAGTAACAGAGCTGATAGTGCTATGAGTAACTCTAGTGAGTGTAAACATTGTTAAAAAGAAATTGAAATTCCATGGACAGTTGACGAGCAATTATCAAGAGAGTGACATTGAATTCAATTGAGGGGGGAAAAAAATCATGGAATTTCACATTTCACTGATTAATGGAATTCCAAATCTTTGAGTAACAGAGAGATAAGAATTCTCCTATTCATTCGGATTTTCAATAAAAACATGAATAGTCAGTACCAAATTACGCAGAATTTCCCATTGATTGAAACTTCGAGAATATTTTCACTTGAATCTTCCTGATTTTTATTAATTTCTATGGAATAATTGAACTGAAATCTCCAGTTTTTATTGATTAGTCCATAAAATTTCGCATTTTCAATTACAAAATTCCTAAAAATTTCAGTGGAACTGAAGTGTGATAAAAATTTACGAGAAGTGTACTGGAAATTTCAATCAAAATTCCTTAACTGTGAACAATTACTAAGAATTAAGGCTGGATACTCAAAGAAATTAGGAATAAATCTCTAAAAACTAAAATTTCAACTCTCTGGTATGAAATTTTATGATAGTTAAAGCCCTCGGCGTATATCTCGTCAACTAATGAGTGAATCAAAATTTTGCGACAGACAAAAGTTATTGCAAATAGATAAAGAAACATTATTGAATTCGACTTTGTTTTCGTATCTGCCATAGGCTACGAGATACGGCGTTTTAAACAATTAAATTGTTAATAACAATTAAACCGCTAACTTTTCAGCCGGATAACCAACGAATTCGGAATCAGAGGCCGAAAAAACATAGAATTAACCCAAGTTATACCTCGGGGACCCCATCACCAATACAGAACCTGCATTGGCGTGTGGAATACACGAGGTACCGGGGAAGTGGGTCTGCAGGACTTGTTCTCAAATTTCACGTAGCAGAGGCAGAATGAAGGATCACGTATGGACGAAACATTATGGGGGACATTTGGGTGCTTCTATCGTGTTTCTCCTGTAACTCGTCGTTCGGGAAGGTACCAGATCACATCGCATACTAAAAGAGTGCATCCAGATAAATATTATATGTCTGCCAGAGATGCACTTTTTGATTCAAAATTAACATTGTACTGAATCAAAATATGATGATGTAGTACAATTTTCGTTGGGTGGTGACACATTTTTGAATTTTGGCTTCGATTGATGAGTTCTTCTCAAGACTTATCAACATGAAATATAATTTCATATAATTTATGCTTATCTACTGTAATATTTAAACGTTTGAAGTGTTTTACTCCAAATTTTAATGAGCGAAAACAAATTTTCATAGATATTACGTTCCGGTCTTTATTGTACTTTATGTACAACAGTGAACGCATGACATGAAACTATTTAGTGATTCCCATTTTATCACAACATATTAATCATTTAGTTGCTCATCTGAAGTGTTTCAATCAATATCAAATGGAATAAATGATTTCAGGGACAAATATCGCGTATAACTTATGCGTTATTATGAAACAAGTAGTTTTGCATTGTGTGCAGGATTTTTGCATCTGCAGTGATTAAGGAATGCACATCAACCTCACAAAGTATTGTGTTGTGTAAATGATACGCTGCTGGTGGAGTGTTTAATCGCTCGAAGCGTTAGTGAAAATGTTATGTGTAATCATAAATTTTCATAGATTCGCAACCCCAGTCTTGACTATCTTCATGTTTATAAATAAATGATTGAAATGAAACATTTTGTGACTCCAATTTTATGGCTCGGAAGTAATGAACGTGTGAGAATAATTCAATTCGCTCCCTTCAATATCAAACAGCTGAATGATTTCATAGTTAAATGTGGCTTTCAGTTCGAAACGCCTCGTGTTACTTAAGTTATTAATGGCGTGGTCAGGGATAATAAAAAAAGTCAAGATATTGATGATTTTTTGGAAATACGTTCTTTGATTGAAATACATTCCCAGATAGCCTAGAAGAATCAACAACGAAAATAATGGTAGTGTCTATTCGCACGCTCCATGGTAGATTCTTAATACTCGCATCTTGTCTGACATCTCCGCTATGAACTCTGGTTTTGAACTCTGGATCCAGAGTTGAAAACCAGAATTGTGACATTATTGTCTAGTGGGATCTAGGAGTCTCCACTAGTTAAAAAATCATCCTTAGAATCATTTGCGCGCCATTTCGAGACTCGCTCTTTCATTCGGGCCCAAAAAAACATTCACATCTTGTCTGACATCTCTGTTATGAACTTTGCTTTTGAACTCTGGTTTCATAGTTGAAAACCAAACTTGTGACAACATTGTCCAGTGGGGGCTAGAACTCTCCCCCGTTTCGGAAATCACCCTTAAAATCATTTGCACTAGATTTCGGCACCCACTCCTGCACTCGGACCCCATTAGACAAATATGAATATTGTTGAGGAAACGTTCACATAAAATGTAAAAAACTATTTATTTCATCATTTATTTGCGTTTAGTCAACGATTTATTTCATTTTTTATTTGCGTTAATCTAGACTGATATTCGTATTCAACGAATTAATATTTTGAGAAAATTATTTGTAAAAGTTATTAGTAAATTATTAGTAAAAGTTGAGGATCCACGATCTTCTATATATCCACGGTAGAAATTACCTTGAATCCACGGGAAAACGTTCCGTATATACATATATCCACGGTCAAAGTTACCGTGGACCGTGTGAATAGACACTGCCTACATTGTCGGATACTGAGAATTGCCAAATGGAATATAAGGAACATAAAATTTATAGAAAAATATCCAATAATAAAAAACTTTGGATAAAGTTCTCGTTTTGGTCAATGATGAAGTATCAGAAAAATTATTGGAAATATGCCTCTGGAATTGGTCATACACGTCAATCTTATCATCATCAATGAATCAATGGTATTCCTCAGGTGAGTTGGAACGAAATTTATTGAGAGTAAATAAATTATCATTTACTCGGGCGAAAAAAGAGGTCCGCGAAATGTTGAAATAGCTATTTTCATTACAAGGCAGAAAAAAACTTGTTCGCCACACGGCCTAAAATAGTATATTTCGATACGAGTGCGAAATAGTATTTTCATCACGCTGTGACGAAAAGTGAACTTTTCGGCACGCTCCGCGTGCCTAAAAGTCCAATTTCCGCCACATTGTGATGAAAAATATTGTTCGTAACTCGTGAAAAAATGTTTTTTAGCTCGTGGGATTATATCGCTCGCCTTCGGCTCGTGATATAAACCTCCCACTCGCCAAAAAACACTTTTTTGCACTCGTTACGAAATATACTATTTTTCCACGAGTATTCAACAATATTTTTCATCACAATATGTGGAAACGACGTTTTACGTACAGCGTGATGAAAAAATGTCATCACCATGCACAATACACATCACTATCCCTCTGCAGGATTATATTTACTGTTGAAGAATACTTTCCATTTTTACCCTAATCATTAGACTAGAAATTCAAATTTGAAGATAGAGTCTCATGATCTCCCACGATAATTTTGCGACGTTGCGGTTGCTCCCCATCAAATAGCTCGTCAAAGTAATTCCCAGAGTCGTCAGTATTGCCGTCATTGACTGAATATCTGAGGAGTCAAATGGCAAATCCTTTCCCACTTTCTTCGTCAGGTGTCATTCTTGTATGGAATTATCGTCGTCGTTTTTCTCCTGAAGAGCATTGCAAGAAGACCTAAACCCCATTCTCCCTTGTTGCATGATGGCTTCTGAGTCCTGTGGATTAGAGCTCAAGGCACTCTTACGATTATCTTCAGGCTTGAGAGACGAGGAACCACTGATGTCAAGTTTCTACCGCTTTGGCGGGAGTTCTGTTGTCTGAGACAGTAGAATGCCATTGTTGTCTTTTTTTTTTTTTTATATTCCGGCCCTCTCTGCCCTCTGATTGGCTAATCGGCCCTATCCAACCCTATGAATGCGGCTGTGATTCTACACTGCACCGCATTCGCACTCCTATAGAACATAGGAGTAGCATGGGAAACCACAGAAAACTCGTGCCGGTACACGCGGTCACTATATTAGCGACCTCCCGCTCGCCGAAGCCTCCAGTTGAAAAACTCGGTTCCACGGGGAATCGAACTCACAACCTTTCGCACACTAGGCTCGCGCCTAGCCGCTTCGGCCACCGACGTCGGTCCCATTGTTGTCCTTATTCATCATCTGGAATTGGAAGTTTTTAGTTTTGGAAGGTTTAGTATTTTTCCCACGAGTATTCAACGATATTTTTCATCACAATGTGTGAAAATGACGTTTTACGTACAGCGTGATGAAAAAATGTCATCACCATGCACAATACACAATATCACTATCCCTCTTCAGGATCATATTTACTGTTGAAGAATACTTTCCATTTTTACCCTAGTCATTAGACTAGAAATTCGACAAACGAACTGCAAATAAACTTCTCAAATTGCATTCGCTTCACTTTCGCGCGCATTTCAAAGAACTTTATCAAACTCACGTCACGGAGGCATGGCGGATGCCGCGGATGCCTTAGTTCTCTCTCAGGGACGTGAAAATAGTCATGAAATCTCAAGACAGTGAACACATGATTCTAGCGTCGATCAACGCCGATCGTTGGAATGATCAATTCTGATACGTAATCAAGGTAAATAGAATGAATTACACATGAAATATGATATTGGTTGAGGTGTAGAGAACATCGAGTGAGAGTTAACCATTGTTGGCGTCTAAAAACTTCCCATTCCAGATGATGAATAAGGACAACAATGGCATTCTACTGTCTCAGACAACAGAACTCCCGCCAAAGCGGCAGAAACTTGACATCAGTGGTTCCTCGTCTCTCAAGCCTCAAGATAATTGTAAGAGTGCCTTGAGCTCTAATCCACAGGACTCAGAAGCCATCACGCAACAAGGGAGAATGGGGTTTAGGTCTTCTTGCAATGCTCTTCAGGAGAAAAATGACGACGATAATTCCATACAAGAATGGCACCTGACGAAGAAAATGGGAAAGGATTTGCCATTTGACTCCTCAGATTCAGTCAATGACGCCAATACTGACGAATGTGGGAATGACTTTGACGAGCTATTTGAAGAGGAGCCACCGCAAGGTCGCAGAATTATCGTGGGAGATCATGAGACTCTATCTTCAAACTCGAATTTCTTCGAAATTGATTGGACGAAATATTACACGGTCATAGCACCTGGCATGTTCGTCTGCAATGCTTGTTCGCACATTACATCTTCCTGTACAATGATGCAGGCTCACATCTGGGTTGCCCATTGTGTGGGAAGCTTCAAGTGCCTTCTTTGTCCGGCACAGGTTCTGTCACATAGATACTATGTTAAGAGACATATGAAAATCATGCACTCCAATGCTTCTTCATAAGCTACAAGCCACAAATTAAAATGTATTCATATCTCGTTGATCGAATAAATGAATATTAACAGTGGAATTTTTTAAGGCCCGTATGGATCATTTCGAACGTTATCTCGATTGTTTTTCCATTTAATCTAAAATAGAGGAGGTTGGGATAAAATGGACACTTGACTTTTTTAAAAATATTAGTAACGGGTTGAAATGTTGATGAAATTTCATCATTTTTTTTTCAATACAAAGAACAATTGTTTCCCTTTGTGATGAGCCTAAACTGAGCTTTATTGATACATTTGTATCTGAGTTATGAATAATTTTAAAAAAGTCCCCTATGTCATAATTTCCAGTGGATTTTACATCACGTAGATGTCCCTAAAAATTAAGATTGCACAATCAAAACAAGCAGGGGACAGCCAACATATGACAGGGGGCCATGTAACAGTGAGTATGTCATCGCGAGTGATGTCTAATTTTTTTTTTCGCCATCAATATATTGGTGGTGGGCTTCTGAATAGTCTGAAATATTACAGAAGTTTATACTTCACAACACCAACTCCATGGGTGCTATCACAATTCCCATGTTTTCCTATGTATACATATTTTCTGTCTAAATTTCAAGTTGATATCTCGATTTTTGTATAAGCTGGAGTGTTTACAAAGTTTTTTTTATGAAAAAATGAAAAAACAGGAATATTTCGAAAACTTTGTATGAACTGACTTATGTATATGTTTTGATTGATTTATACAGAAGGCATCGAAACGAATGTTTTGAAAAAAAAGTGAAATCGGTTGCGTAGTTTTAAAGATACTCCATGTAAAAGATTTTCAGAAAAAGTCGAATATCTCCGCAACTACTGATGTGGTTCAATACGAAACATTGTTATCATGAGAGGAAGATTCTATCCAAATTAATCACAAACTACTTGCCAATAAAAAAAGAATCAGCTCCCTGGAATCATGTGAAAATCACATTATCGCTCAGAAATAAAGGGTATTCAATTCGTCAGGATAGTAGTCTATACATGTTGAGCTTCTCGAGAGATGTAGAGCATTAAGTTGTGTAATTTCTACTTAATTTTTCGGAGTGTTTAAATGTTTCATATGTTTCTCAAAATTGGAGGAGTGAGGATTAAATTATTGCACGTGTTAAACTCTGCTCTTAAATTCTTAATAAATATGGGACATGTAAGAGCTTGTTGATTTCAATTCGTTTGTTAGGAACTTACTTGCACAACTGAATAATTCAGTAGCGAAGTGGTCAAACGGTACAAGTCACTTTTGTCGATTGACCAGTTTTCAATGAATATCTCGGAATCTAAGGGAGATAGCAAAATTTTTATTATAACCTTTTTTGTAGAGCCCATTGAGAGCTACAACAAATGCAATTACGAAAATTTCGCTATCTCCTTTAGATTCGGAAATATTCCTCAAAAACTCAACTGGGACATGAGTCGACTTAAACTGTTTTACCACTTCGCTACTGAATTGGAGTTGTTCGTATTGATTTAATCCGTATTCAAGATTTAATCCATATATCAGATCTAAAGACGAAAATGAGCAAGTGTTTCACTCTAGTATGAAGTTCTTTAGCCGAACAGAGTCATAAGCGACATATTCGCTAATAGTAAATCTTTCTCGAATGAGACGTGACTTTATGCCGAATAAACAAATAAAAAAATTTGTAGCTGAAGACATTTTCGAAGAGTTTGTCGACATTGTATACTTGAAAATGCTTACTCCTTGAAACAATTCTATATTTGACGAGATCCAGAAAATGGAGCTGTTGAATGTTGTCACTTCGATATTGCATGATATACAGAACCGATTTTTATGAAGAATATACACAGGGCAATCCGCGCTGCCATACAGACCTATGATTCGTTTCAATAACTAAACCAAGAGGGGATGTTCATCGATCGTTTTAACGGTTTATTAACCTTTTTTACCAAATAACAGTGTTTAACATTGTAGATCACTATTGGAAAGTAGTTTAATAATGAACTATCGATCCACGTTCATAGACTGAATGGTGCTGTCATTGCATATCGGTTGTGAAATTGTCTGCATGAAAACCTGACAAAACCCTAAACGTAAAATATTAAATATATTTGACGAGAGCTGAGCTCACTCTGCATCGATTCAGATAGTCTCAGCTAACAATGACGACCACTCAGGCTATTTTCCGAGTACTATTTGTTTCAATTTTTCATACGTTAAAAATGAGTTGTTAGAGTGTATTAAATTTTCAATTTTTCAATGGAAAATATGTGTTAGATTTAACGTACCAATTTTGGTGATTTTTGTTGGTAGAAATAACGTTAATGTTCTTATTGATGTCTATAAATAAGATATAATTTTGTTTAATCGAAATTATGAAGGAACTTCATGAACTTCATAAAATCTGTTATAAATTAAGTAACTAAAATCATATCCTCAAATTACGCACAAATTCTTTATAAAATAACACAGACTAGATATTCTATTTTGGTAAAACCACCATTACCGTAAATAGTACAAATTTTTCATGATTTTTAAAAAATGTATGTTGGAAAGAATCGAAAGCGTCAATCGTGAATGAGATGTTCGTTATTCATCAACACTGAGAAAAAATATATTTTTACCAAATTTACTTGAGAGAAGCATTTATTTTTTCAAAAATATATTTTTTTTAAATCGTATTTCTCCAATCGAGTCACTCCCAGGTGAGCCTTATTAGATTTGAATTATGACAATCAAGTTGCTTTAGAGGATGACTATATTGAACATGACCTTGAATGAACTTCTCTAAGGATTATTCATTTTTCCTAAATTTCTTATTTTGAACAGGGAAAAATTTCGAATAATTTTTTAATGTTTATAATTATTGAGGAAGTTCACTCAACGTCATAACTAACATGATCATTTTCTAGAGCAATATAATTGTCATAATTAAAACCTAATGAGAGTTGCCTGCGAATGACTCGATTGGAGAAAAACGGTATTAAAAAAATAAATGGTTCTCTCAACTAAATGGATATTTGGCAAAAATAATTTTTTTCCTTAGTGAATGTATTCAAGAAGAAAATCATGGATTTCTTAGTTCTTTCCTATCTCTAAAGCCTAAACAGTTTGGAATGTTTTTTCTTCATGTGAGCTACGACAGTGAATCTCGTGGTATATGAAGAATTAATACACAGTGGACATTTGAACCATCCACCATGATGTTTGGTCCAAATGTGGTCCTGCATTAGCACTCTCGTTCTTTTAATTTGAGAACACATGTTGCAGTTGTACTCCTTAGAGTGGACTCGCTCGTAATGTGTTCGCCAATCAATCGTAAAGAATTTCGTATCTGAAGACAGAACATAAATATCACCTTCGAGAATTCCACTTCTCACGTTCTCCTCCTCTTCCGTCAATTTCTTCTTCGACTGCAATGCCTTATTCTGACCATTGACTCGAGACCTAGTTTTCTTTGCCTCCTGCTCGAGAACGTTCCCTGTGTCTGCTGACAATGTTCCATTCATTGTTGATTCATACTCCGGAACGCCTACGGATATTTTTTCAGATATTTCAGTCAACTCTTCCAGCTGTTCGACTTTTTCATTTGGTGCTGTCATCGTGAACGAAGAGGATCGTTCCCCTTCCCAGAACGGCATTTCTATTTTCAACTCTTCGAATTTCATTTCATCGTCTACGAGTTCAAAGTCCCGCAATTGCGAATCCTGTTCAAACATCGGCTCCAACTTCACTTCTATTTTTTTCTCTGCACCTACCAACTTCTTCTGAATCTCTGTGTCATTCTTTTGAGCATTTGGAGATGATGAAGGGCCTTCAAAACTCGATGGGATCGTTCTGTTCTGGTCGGTCAATGGATCCATGACTTCTTCTTTGATTATGTTCATGGCTGGTAGAGCAGTTGCTTGGGATTCATAAATCTGCTGATGCATCTTAGTATTCGCTGATTCCAGATTGTTTTACTCTATATATAGGAATTCTTTGATTTTAAATCTAATTTAGTGGAATCCAGATGTAATGACTTGTTCGCAGTAGCCTGATGCAAATATGTGTTTCTTCATCAAACCAATCTATTCACAATTAGGAATAGGCACAGTCATTCCCTGAAAGGTTGAGAGGCGGGGTGCTAGGTGTGTCGAGTTTCTGACGCTGTTCACGATTTTCAGTTGATGAAAACAACGAACATTAATTGATCATTCCGTCTGTCTGAAATTTTTCCTTGTCTATTATTTCGTCTTTTGCACCTAGGACACTAATATTGGATTTCATAATGAATTTATTCTACTTACCTTCTGATTTTTAAGAAAAACACATAAGAATAATTTGACCAGTATTGCACATTCCTTGTAAACATCCAAAGAAATGTGGAATCTCAGTGCTTAGTTGGTTACGTGTTCTAGGGTGATCTATGCATATTCACACGTTATTGAGAGGAAACACGGTTTGAGTGTTTTGTGGAACCCATTTCTCATTGACGCAGTGTCATGAGCTCTAACCAATCAAAGCCCTCCATTAGTAATTTCGTGACATCAGATTGGTTTAAGGATGTTTAGTCAGTGTCGGTAAATTATCGGTAAACGTGTTTTTTTTTTCATGGTCAAGGAAAATTCTGTAATTTTTTCGGCTGACAGCAGAACACATAAAACTAACTTTTCTAACGTTAAAAAAAATTAATCGCAATAGTCTCGGCAGAAATAAATAAACTAATTTTTCCTTATGAAATTTATGTTTAAATTGATAATTCACCTACTAGAAGATTCTAAAAATAGAAGGTAATGTGTAAAATCATACTGAATCCAATGGCCAGAGAAAAATCTGGGATTCCCGGGCAAAAGGAGGAAATATTTGAATGATGGTTCTATCCCATACAGGGTGCGTTTCGCAATCGAGGTAGTCGCAGTAACAGTGCTGTAACCCTATCCAATTTTGCTTGACTGCAACTACGGTAGTTGATTCCGAAACGCACTCATAAGCACATATGTTAGCGCATGCATTTGGTGCATTTTGTCTATTTCATTTCTAAATAGGGGAGGTTGGGGTAAAATGGACACTTTTGACTTTTTTAAAAATATTAGTGACGGGTTGAAATGTCGATGGTCGAGGGTCTTAAGGGTCACGAAGGTCATAGAGGTGCTAAGGGTCATAGGGGTGTTAAGGGTCATAAGGGTCACAGGGGTGCTACGGGTCATAAGGGTCATAGAGGTGCTAAGGGTCATAGGGGTGTTAAGGGTCATAAGGTGAGTTAAGGTCAGAGGAGCTAAGAGTCATAAGGTTCTCGAGGGTCATAGAGGTGCTAAGGGCCATAAGGATCACGAGGGTCAGAGAAGTACTAAGGGTCATAGGGGTGTTAAGAGTCATAAGGGTCATAGAGGGGCTAAGGGTCATAAGGGTCACGAAATGTGACATTTGAGACCCTCACAAAAAAAAAAAAAACTATCATTATATTTTCCTGAAAAGAATTCTTATTATTTCAAATAATTGATTTTTCAGTTTTATAACTATAACATTTTATTATTATTATTATCATTATTATTCTTATTATTACAGGTGTATATATACACTACTGTATATCGCCACCGTCCTTCTAACGGCAAATATTATTAAAAACTACCAGGGTCATAGGAGTTTTAAATGTCATAGAGGTGCTAAGAATCACGAGGGTCATAGGAGTCGTAAGGGTCACGAGGGTCATAGGCGCGCTGAGGGTCACGAAGGTCATAGGAGTGCTGAGGGGCACGAGGGTCATAGAAGTGGTAAGGGTCATAAGGGTCATGGGGGTTCTAAGGGGGCTGCCCATATATGGGGTGTGCCCATATATAGGGGGGTACCTATATATATGGGGGGTGCCCATATAGGGGGGGTGCCTATATATGGGGGTGCCCATTTATAGGGGGTGCCCATTTATGGGCGGTGCCCATTAATGGGGGGGAATTATATGTATGTGCCCTCTTATGGTAAAGTATGTATAGAGCTATCGGAAAAATCCTCCCTCACATCCACTCGGTCACACCGGGAGTGGGGAGCGAGCGAAGCGAGCGGGGTTGGCGAGCGGAGCGAGCAGGGGGCGTAGCCCCCTAGTAATGAATAAATAAATAAACAAAATGAATGTTTGTAATACTATGATATTTTTAATAAACTCTTAATTTAATGTTTTTTTTTTTTCAATACAAAGAACAATTCTTTCCCTTTGTGATGAGCCTAAACTGAGCTCTATTGGTGCATTTGTTTCTGAGTTATGAATAATTATAAAAAAGTCTAAAGTGTCCATTTTACCCTACCCTCCCCTAATGAACATGGGTTAGTGGATTGAAATTTGTATCAAAGTGAGGGAATATCTTCATCTCTCGGTTGAAAAAAAAAATCATTTTTTTTAGTACTTCCGATTTTGTATAAACATCCTTAATGCTCGCTACATAACAATCTACAACAAACTTAAAGTATCATGTTCCGTACTTTATTGTTGGAGCGTTGACATGCTCGGTGAGTTTCTCGAAATTCCAGGCGTGACGATTTTGTGCATCTTAAAAATCTTTTTTGTTCAGTCTCGATTTTATTCCTGATGAATGTGAAAAATCGAACTGTTTGTTGATTTCAATTTGATCGTTATGACATGATTTGCAAAACTAAATAATTTGAGTTGTTCGCATGAATATAAAAGGGACGAATGATTTCACAATGAAATTTCGTTATTGTCTCCGGTATGTTGAGTATTTTTGCACTTAATTCAATTAAGAAGTTATCATAAGATTCGGCGATCAATTTTAAGTATAATATTATGAATTGTATTTAATTGTAGCGTTCAAACACTTCAAGTATTTCTCAAAGTTTTCTGAGTGAGGACAAATTTTTTACACATAATAAACTTGGGACCGATAGTGTTTTATGTTCAGTAATAAGTGTGTGCGACAGAACTGCTTCCTGCTTTTGATTGTATGAGACCGAACGCACGCTACAGCGCGCTGTAATTGTAACAATAATAATTGGAAGTAAACCAATGAGGAATAAGCGTGACAGACTTGCAAGATATCGATAGTTATCGACTCTAAGTGTATCCCAAGCAGCACAGTTCTGGAGGGTATCTGCAAGTATACCAAAAAGGCTGTCTAATGTCTGTCCAAAAAGGTAACTTGTGTCTAGAAGTTAACTAAAAGTTATCGTATGACTGCAAGATACCTATTGGACGGACATTAGTCTGCCTTTTTGGTATACTTTCAGATACCTTTGCAAGGTTTGCTACTTGGGTATGTTCTTTTTAGAATAGGATTTATTTACAGATTATCTATAGATTGTCTACCTTTATCTACAGATTATCTATACATTATCTACATTCATCGCCTAGTGAAAGGCACAAGGCTAGGGCTGATAGACTCACCGGGGAAAAAAGGCGGAAGTCACCAAGGGTCGTAAGATTTAGGTGACTCTGGGCGTATTAATCGACCAGCCGTGTATATATCTATATCTGTATATATATCTACAGTCATCGCTATAACAATGAATATAAAAGAAAATTTTGAAATTTGAGTAATTTCATTCGGTCGATAAAAGAGGAGACTTCTTATCACGTTACATCGCATGGGAAGTGGTGGGGGATTTTGCTCCGAATGTCAACATTCGAGAGCGGTCAAAGATACGATAGGGATGGGCGATGTTTTAAAAAACATTGATTATCGAAGAATCGATGGTTATCAAAAACATCGATGTTGTGAACCGATTTTTCGGGATAAAACATCGATTATTTAAAAAATTGATGTTTTTCTTATTAAACAGGAAAAAAAAAATTTTTTTAATAATTTTTCTTCTTCTCGTTTTTATTGAAAAATATAAATTTAAACAAAAAACCGGAGGAACTTACGTTTCAATGATAACTACTGCTGGAGAGTTAACCCTAGTCTGGTCACCTGACGGGAAAATGCGACTTTAGTCACTTTCGCGGGAGAGTGCCGCCGTGTTTTTTAGGCTCCAGCGTTGCCGAATCCACTGTACACTTCCCGGGCGCGTTTAGCGAGTTCTCAGCAACGTCGCGCAACAGGCACTTTCATTTAACACGGGAAAAAATTGTTCACCTGTTGGAAATAATTTTTGTTTCTCCCAGAATTAAGGATACAATATTGAAAAAATAATACTAGAATTTTCCAGATACTTCAATTGACGAATTCAATTTTTCTCAAATTTTTCCGATCAACCAGTCGATGGCAAAGTGAAAAAAACGACGTGTTGCGACAATTCCCTCGCATGGTGAGGGTGACCAGTCTAGGGTTAAATTTTGAATCTCGAAACAGAGTTTTTGATCAATTGAAAAAAATTTATTAAATATTTTCCGTGGCTGGACGTTAGCTGTAATAATTGTTTAAAAATTTTGATTTAAAAAAATTTTAAAAATTAAATTAAAAAAAAACAATAGAACACTGGACTTGTTCACTTACCATTTATAACATACATACTGTAGAAAATAATTACTCCTGATTGCGGATAAATTATTGTTTTGTTTAGTCTCAATCAATCAACATTATTATTTGAGAAGAAAATGAAAAATTTTGTTAGCTTAATCAGAAACATCGATATTTGGAAAAAAGAATCGAAAATCGATTAATCGGCCGTTGAAAACATTCAATGAAAAACATCGATGTTCGGGCAAGAAAAATCGAGGTTTTCGATTAATCGACAAAAACATCGCCCATCCCTAGCTAAAGAGCGCCCAGTGAGTCATCATCAAAAATACTGACCTTCAACAGCACGAGACAGTCACAATAAGATACCTGTTATCCAGCAAATGTTTTCATATAAGTTGAAATTTGTACGAGAAGGAAAATCAAAAGGTGAGTGATTCAAACCAAAATAAAACTTGAGTTATTCATCGAATTTCAGAGGTTAGGTATCGTTGTGTTAAAGAATAATATGCAATTAACTTACTGTAGGACTGGCAAAATTGTTCCACTGAGATGAGTGGTGAGGGAATGGGAGTTCAATGCATAACCTATAATTCCCGGTGGAACTCTTTCGCCAGTCCTATTGTACATGCACACATTTTCTTAAGGGGTAACGGAAGCCGTCGCAAAAGTTTGTTTTTTCAACCCATTTTTCTCCGATTTTGTCTAATATAAATGGCTGAAATTTTCACCAAGTATTGAGGGGACTCTAAGCGTTGTCGTCCATCTATTATTTTTTAGCATCAGCTGTGTCGTTAAGTTTTCTGCTTTTTTTTTTTTTGAAAAATCTGAAGTCATAGATGGAGGGCAACACTTAGTTTCCCCTCAATACTTGGTGAAAATTTCAGCCATTTATATTGGACACAATCGGAGAAAAATGGATTGAAAAAACAAACTTTTGCGACGGCTTCCGTTACCCCTTAAGTAATCGTTACCAGGATCGACATAGGCAATCAACATATATAAGGTTAATGGGCGCACACGGTTATTAATTAAATTTGTATAATTAGCGAATCATTATTAGGTACCTGGATAATTGATAGACTCGTAAACGTTAACCGTGAAATAATAATCTTCCTAACACTTCCCAACTGTCTATAATACATGACTTACGTTGCTCTTTTGTTTATCTGGATTTAGGGATATGTTTCAAATACCGAATCAAGTGAATAAGAGTTCCTCCTTGATACAATGCGTAAAAAGGACGGTGGATAGACCTACGATTCGAGCAAAGATGTTTATCCAATACCACAAACATCCTAATTTTTTTTCATTTCTTTTCTATTGATAGATGGTTATTTTCCTCATGTTAATAAAAATTGCAACGAACATAAGCTGATGATTCAGAAATCAAATAGATAATATGCATTATATCTAAGCACTATAGCCTGGGATTATCGGTGGTTTAATGTTTTGAATATCCCTATTAAATGCTTGGGTACCAAAGTTTTTCTTGGCCATTTTATTCATTTTTATCATTCCGGTCCTAAGGCAGCGAATGAGAGCTGGCCTTCGGCTCGGGCTGCAAACTCATATTCGCCAGAATAGTATATTTTGTCATTGGGCCAAAAAAAAAAACACTGCTGCTACGTTCACGTCGTGCCGAAAATTGTTTTTTCATCACGCTGTATGCGAAAAAGTAACGCTTCACGTGCCTAAAACGTCCCTTTTCCATACATTGTGATGAAAAATATCGTTCGATACTCGTGGGAAGTGTTTTTTGGCTCGTGGGAATATATCACTCGTCTTCGACGTGTGCTATAAACCTCCCACGAGCCAAAAAACTCTTTTCCGCACTCGTAACGAAATAGTATATTTCGATACAAGTGCGACGGTGTGGTAAAGAGTGTGAAGTTGGCGACCCGAGGCGAAGCCGAGGGCTGCCAATCACACGAGTTAAAACACCCCGTCACACGTGTATCCGAACTATATTTTTTGTTAGTGATGTTACGTTCAGCTAGTGCCGAACTGTGCCATTTTTCGACATGGGCTGAACGTAGCAGCAGTGACAAAATAGTATATTTCGTAACGAGTGCAAAGAAGTGTTTCTTGGCGAGTGGGAGGTTTATATCACGAGCCGAAGGCGAGTGATATAATCCCACGAGCTAAAAAACATTTTTTCACGAGTTACGAACAATATTTTTCATCACAATGTGGCGGAAATTGGACTTTTAGGCACGCGGAGCGTGCCGAAAAGTTCACTTTTCGTCACAGCGTGATGAAATATACTATTCTTTTACTTGTAAATAAAAAAGACAGTTCGGCCACTGGCTGAATGTAACATCACTTTCAAAATAGTATATTTCGATACGAGTGAGACGGAATTTTCCCTATCGACCTTCACTTTTACTCGTCCGGGGATTGATATTGGCCCTTCCTCAAACTCGTAAAAGTAAAAATCACTACAGAAAAATATCGTTTACAGCTAGTGCCATGGGGTTTTTTACTCGCGCGGAGTTGATGTCCGAGTCGAAGGCGGACTGGCCAACCACGCGAATGAAAAAACCCCATGTCACTCGCCCTGGAGCCTATTTTCGAATTGAAATCGTACGTTCGAGTTAATCAAGTGGCATGCGACCCATAAGGCGTAGCATGAGTTGCATGCGACCTGCTGAAATCGAACGCACGATTTCATCGCGAGAATAGACTCCCTGAAATATTCCTATAACTATTTCCTTGCTCATCAGAAGTGATGTTTTACTTGTACGTTTCGCTACTCGGTCCAACTGCTCAACTACAGGGACATTCCCCTTACCCTTATTGGACGGATCTTCGAACAATATCGCTGATCACTCAAATTCGGTCATTTTCCTGAATGGCTAATTCGTATTCGGCGGTCACCATTATTTTCCAAAAGTATTTTTAATCTTCCAGATGAGTGACAGTAGCAATGAGAGTTCATTGTCTCCATCAACTGAAGTCTCTGCAGTACCCTCAAAGCGGCGAAAAATGGAAACATCTAACGGTTCAGGCGTTGACTCTTACAGCAATGACTCTATACTTGGCACTGAGTGGGAATTGAAGCATACAAAAAGAGAACTTGCAGTCCTCCGCGTCAAATTATTTGAAACCGAGGCTGCTGGTATTCAGCATCACAAATTGAGGAAACAAATCGAAGAACTGTTTGAGAAAGAGAAGAGTATCCTGCAAAAGCAGGCGCAGGTGGACAGAGAGACGATAGAACAACTGCGAGAGGATCTGAAGGCATCGATGAAAAGTCTTCGTGAGGCACGTGAAGCCAAGACTGTTCTAGAAGCTCAGCTGTCCCTCGCGAAAACTCAAATGAGGAATCAAATTGCAGGTTCATTGAAGACCTACAAGAAGTCTGAAGAGACAATCAGACTCCAAAATATCGAACTGAAGGACGCGAAGCTTACGATTGAGCGGTTGAATAAAGAGAAACGAATCCGTGAAATGCGCGAGGCTCCAGTAGGTGGAAAAAAAAGTGAAGCCTTGCAAAAGGAATCACAGGATGAGGACGAGGAAGTTACGGCAATTGTGATGAAAAAGGAGCCCGTCGTTGTGTCAAGTGGTGATTCCTCAGATCAAAACGAGACCGTAATATTATTAGCCAATACTTCTAAAAGAGTTTCATCCCCGGATTCGAGTGACAGTGATGACTCTTCATCAGTGATCCTACCTATAAATCAGTCGTCATCATCAGCAGCCCTGAATAACACCACTCGTATTATCGTTGGCTTGTCCCCACGTTCTTCTTCATTCGGTGGTGGTAAAAATGAAGATGATCCCTCATCCCCCTCTTCATCAGATAATTCGTCCGAACCATTAGATCAGAACCCTCCCTCCTCGTCTAATAATTCTAATGATTCAGAGAATGCGATGGACAGGATTAGCAGACGCCTATCGATAGGGAATCATTATGTATTGGTGTCGAGTGAGCAATTCTACCAACTTGATTGGGACGCAGAGCGCTTTCGGGGGGGACTAGGCCACTGGTGTTGCAAGAAATGTTCTTACACTTCGCCGAACAAAGTGGGAATTGAGGATCATGTGTGGACCACACATTATGGAGGGAAATTCGAGTGTCCTCACTGTGACATTTGCCACACTCTTGCTACCGGCAGGTATGCTGCCATGGAGTATGCTAAAAGAAAGCACCCGGATAAGTATCAGTAATGGTACTTAATATTGTATCCACTCGCTTAAATTGTTGTGGAGAAGCAGATACCATTGAATACTCATTTGTCTCATTGTAATACGTTTTACAATGCCTTTCCTAAAGTTAAATATAGTATTAGGAGAGATATTCTTTAGGAAAATTCTAGTGCTGTAAAGTAAAATTGAAGTAGAATCTAGTTTTCTTCTGGTAAAATTTCAAGGGATTTCTGGTAAAATTCCCGGAGATATCAGCGGAAAGTTCATATGAATACGGGAAAAATTCACGTGCTACCTAATGAAATTTCCAGTATCACCACTGGAATTTTTCCTTGACCGACAAGTTACGTCCGTTCCCCGAGCTACTACTAGAATTATCAAAAAGAATTTCTCTATGTATACCTACAAGGCAATCATAAAAGTATGAACCTGTAATTACTTCTACCAAATCGCCTCTTAGAAGTTGTCACATACGAAAAAACTTCATAGAAAAATCTACCGCATTTACTAGAGAATTCTATCACATTTCGACAGAATTTCCATAGAAAAAACCAATAGTTGTCTACTGGTTCTATTGAAAAAATTCGGAGTTTCTCTTCACGTTTTCTTTTCATCGAAAGAATCAATAGACTTTGATTTCTCTATAAAACGTATTCTGTTTTGATATTTTCTACAGGAATTCTTCGGTCTGAATTATCCATGTTTCCTTGTTCGATTTCTTTTATATAAGGAGATAAGAACGTAGTGAGAAAACTGTTGAAAATTTATGCCAAGGAAATTTCTATAGAAAATGAGGGAAGGTGGGGCAAAGTGAAATGTGCATTATTGAGTCAAATTCTAATATTTCTGTTAATGAAGACATCAAGAATTAAAGTTCATCACAAACGTTCCACATTACCCTACTCTCGCCTATTTTAATAGTATAAGCTGTATAAAAAGATAAAATTTCTTTTTTCTATTCTATAAAATGGTTTGTATTGGACATTTTCTTTTGAAAAAAAATGCACAGAAAAGCTGAAGAATTTTGCAGTGGGATCGAGAAAACCTTAATTGAATATCCAATAGACAATAGAATTTTCTAGTGAATGCACTAGATTTTTCTAAGATTATTTTTCTTGCGTGAGGTTCAAAGGCAAAATTTGACGGAGGCTAGACTCCCTCAATTCTTGATTGAACCGATTCAATAAAACTCATTTCCGTACTGATCTTCAGTTTCCCTCGTCCGGGGATTGGTATTGACCCTTCGCCAAACTCACAAAACTGAAAATCACTACGGAAAACTATCCTTCACGCCTAGTGCCATGGGGTTTTTTACTCGCGTGGTTGGCCAGTCCTCGCCTGCGGCTCGGACGCCAACTCCACGTGAGTAAGAAAAGCCAAGGCACTCGCCCTGAAATATATTATTACAGTGTCGACTGTATGTACCTGTCGTCTACGTTGTAATGAATTAAATTTTGGGGTGTTGAAAGTCTAATTGAAAACGTTATGGATCTGCGTACACATCCTGGTAAAACAGTCCGATTATTTCCGACCGGGTGATAAAAAATAAATCGGCGTTAATGATGTTTCTGTCTTTGCCCGTTAAATTCTGATTGGCTGGTAGTTAGTTTGGAGTTTGAGAAAATTATGAGAATTAATGGGAACAAGGGTATGTGGCCGTTATCGTTCGATTACTTTCCAAAAAAGTGGTTGATAGATCTCATATTGCTCATATAAATATTTAAATGAGCAGTATCGACTGTTTTTCATGTCGATAGAAAATAGTATTTTTCGGTCATATGACGAACGATATTTTTTGTCATTCTGGTCGTGACGGAAAATAGTATTTTACCTTACGGCCGAAGCGACAAAAAAAGTGTATTCGTATGAAATTCAACTTTTTGTTAATCTTGGGTTTATTGACAACAACTCAGCTGCACCCCTGGAGGATTTTAATTGCTTCAATCAATTGTAATCGGAAGAATGATTCCACAGTTAGATGTTGGATTGTAATTTCCGAATTACAATGGATAGTCAAATATCGTTAAATACTTAGGTTTGTTGTTATATTGCGTGTTCTCGCCTGCATTCATGTTAAGTATCCCGTTATGCGTGTTATATTTAATTACTTTTTGAAGTCTTTAAAGTGAAACTTATCTAGCCATCAGTGGATAAAGGGAAAGAACACAAAGTGATACAGTCGAACGGGTAAGAAGTCAGACTGTGATTCTCTGGTTCCAATATTTTTCATTATATATTTAGACAATTAGACATTTTGTCTACTCCAATGTTAGATATTGGTAAATTAGCTGCCCGTCAGCTCAAAGAGCTGCGACCAGTGTTACAGTAGTTTTAAATTTATTTAATTTTTGTATTACATTTGTGTTATATAATTCACTCATTCTGAATAAAATAAATGAAATATATGTTGTAATTTGTTATAAACAAGCTATTATAAGAAAAATTTGTTGAACCCTGTAATTGCCTGAATAACAAATGATGATTCTAGCATCCAAAACTGTAACCAAAAATGGGACAGATTATTTCGGAGCTCTGAAGCCTAAATTCCTCCACCTTATTCCCATTCGTATCTGTCATGAAAAATAATAAAGAGTCAAAAGCCATCCTAATATACTATTTTTAACAGAGGCATCGTGAAAAATTGAGTGAAAAATTGGCCTCGAAAACGACTAATTTTGATAATTTTTACCGTTTAGCCATCCATATATTAAGAGGAATGTGTGAATAGGTGAATTAGAAAGAATTGAGCTTCATGCAAGTTCCCTATTGAGTAGCAAAGACTATTATGTTATTAGTCTTTTCATTGGAATTGTTATTAGGCCGGATAAACCATGATCTACCCCAGCGAAGCGAGGTTTCCGGGCTCGTAACATGAAGTAGTTTATATCCCGCGGTCCACACAGTATTTTCCGATGAATGCAAGTTTATAATCTGAACCAAATGCGAATGATGACATTTACTATTCGCTTATTGGTGACGAAAGAAAAATCAGCGTTGAAAGAAAAATTGCTTTCGGGCAATGGCCAATGACTTTCATGTGAAATTTATTATACACTGACAGAAAAACGTCAAAGTTCTCAAACAAGTGTTACTTGTGCCAAGAAAATAGTTTTTTGAAAATTATCAAAAAAGGATTTTTTTGTGCCAAACATGCAGCTAGTGCGCCAGGATGAAAAATTTTTGTCGCAAAAATAGATTTAGTAGTTTTAAAAAAATTGCATTCTCAGTACACGCAAGAAATGTAATTTCTAACACTACTCCTTCCTTATTCGATACTCTCAAACGTATTTTGCTGCCGAAAAATCTTTGTTTTATGCGAAAAAAAGGATAGTATTTTCTCGTTTCGGCTGTCTAATATTCACAGACAATAAATGAACCCTTAAATGAAATAATAATAATGATATGATAGCAATCTTGTAGCTTAGGGACAAAATATTTGTTGATAAATTTTCCTCTATATGAAATATTTTCATCCTGAAGAGGCACCGTCTGGTGTAAATTATCCGCCTCTTCAGCCAAATATTTCGTTGCTGTTGAAAGCAGAATAATTATTCATGTTTTTGAGACTTTCAAATTCGAATCAAACAATAGTATTTTTCCGGGCTGCTGCTACGGGGTTTTTGACTCGTGCGGAGTTGGCGTCCGAGCCGAAGGCGAGAGTTGGCCAACCACACGATAAAAAAACTCCATCGCAGCAGCCCGGGACAAAATTTTTTTGTAGTGATTTTCAAGTTTTCCAGTTTGGGAAGTATACAATACCAATTCCCAGATGAGAAATCGTGAGAAGCAGTACAGAAAATTCTTTTTTGGCAATTTTCAACGATCGATCTTGTTGGCCCAAATAAGACTTGTTTGAGAACGTGTTTGTTTTTCTCCCAGTGTATAACAACAACGCATACTGCGGTCTTTCCACCCAAAAATGAAAACAACCCTTAGAAAGGGTTGAATCTATAATCAATAATATAGGGTGAACAGGCCAGTTGCTGGACGGTTAAGGGAAATTCGAGTTTCGTGGTAGCATCTAAAATAAAACAATCACCTAAATGGGGATATGAGGGCTTCCATACCTTCAAGAATATTTTAATTAGCAGAAAAAAATTATTTGAAGTGAAAATAGCAAAGCAAAGAATGATTAAATTAAGAAATAGTTGAATGCAGCCGGAACCCCTCATTTCTGGACGACTGAGCCATATTTTTTTTATTTATCAAATGCTGATCGGTCGAAAAAATAATTGATCAGATGATTGTAGACGAGTAATGTTATTGAAAGGTGAAATAGTCAGTACAATTTTCATTTTATTTATGGAATATTCAATGCAAGTTGAAATCGTCCAGAAACTAGCCCCCGTCCAGAAATATCACGTATGAAAAAATACTATAGGATATCCTATAGGAAATTCTGTGGAGAATTCGAACATTTCCTATAGGATTTTTCTGATAGGATTTCCCACAGGATTTCCTATAGGATTCCCTATAGAATTTCCTATCAGATTTATGACCCTAATCTTGACCTCACCCTCAATTTTGTGTGTTACTTTCCATAGAAAACCCTATAGTGAATTCTATAGAAAATCCTATAGGATTTTTTCATACGTGTATATAGACCTGTTCGTCTTACGCAGAATAAATAATTGTCAATCGCGAAAAAACGAAACATTTTCAAATTCCCCCACAAACCCCAAGATGTTCACACGCACATCCATATCGCGCATGACATCACACGTCAGTTGAGTATTCAATGGCGGAAGATATTGCTCCTCAGTTGGTGACAGTTGGTGAGAATAATCAAAGAGTAAAAGTCAGGTTTAATCTCCTCTCGAAAACAGTAAATAGTCACAACCGAATTTGAGCCCGGGTAGAGCACACAAGTCTCACAAGATTAAAAGGTGAGTGAGAGGAAATTTCCATGAAATGTCAGATTCATCGAATTCTAGAGGTTATGACATGTTCCCCTTTGAAAAAATCACCATGACTGCTAAACACTTTCAGATGGAGCAGGCTATTATCAGAGCCGGGCTATTGCGTTCGTCAGGTTCATGCGAAGATGATGAAGTGCCACCAAAACGTCGAAAGCTCACCTCATCGACTCCTAACCCTTCACTCAATGGTTGCACACGTCTATCCAAGTATGAACGTATCTATCTTGCCAGAGAACTCGAAGCTTTCCGCACCAAGCTATCCAGCACTGAAACAGCTTCAATTCAACTTCACAGAATGAGACAACAAATGAATGAAATGTTCGACGAAGAGGAGAAAGTACTGGGGATTCAGGCAGTAGTAGCGAAAGAGGGGATAGCAAAATTGGAAGCATCGTTGCAGACAGCAGGAAATGGCCCCTTGGAGACCCTCAAATCCGGGGAAATTCCTGAATCTCAGATTTCCGCGATGAGAAGCAGAATGTGGGAGAAAATTAAGACGTTACAGCTGGATAATGGAATGACTTCAACATCCGCTGAGCCTCAGGAGAACGAGGTAGAGGCCCAGAGACAGCTGGAGAGAAAGATAAAAACCGAACTAGAGCAATTATTGCAAGCCTCGGGGTCTCAAAACCACAAAGGAGTCTACGTTCCAGCTCAGCAGATTTGTTCAAGGAATTCCAGAAAAACTCCTCCGGAGAAGGAACGAACACGAATGAGTGATCTTGAAGGGCTGCAATCATCAATTGGTACCACGTTAACTCTTCGTGAAACTGTCATGAGAAAACTGCTTCTTGAAGAAAAAATATCGAACATGGAAAAGAAATTGGATGATGAGAGAGGTATGCTGCAGATGCTGCATGGAGAATGTGAGAAGCTACTCTTGCACCTTCGCAAGAATCAGTCATCAACTAGTGAAACGTCACTGAGAACTTCGACGTCTTCGCTTCAGCGTCCAAAATACATTCGGAGGATTGACCGCATGAACTTAAGACTTGGGAAATCGGTGAAAACCGGCGTGGAAAAGATAGTTGTCAGCTCGTCTGAAACCGAGTCATCCGGAACGTCACCGGAAAATTCGAGGAGCAGGACTCCGCATCTTCAGCTGCCAAAAGTCTTTCGGAGGTCGGAGCTGATGACAAGGAAATCGGAGGAATCGAAGATGGTGAAGGTCCCCATGACAAACAAAAATGCTATTCAGTCTCACTCCGAGTCACCAGGAACTTCGAAGGACAAGACTTCTGGGCTTCAGCATTCAAAATCTATTCGGATGACTGAAGTCATGAGAATAAGACATGAGGAATTGAAAAAAGTGAAAGCCGAAATGGCGGATCAAATTGTTACTTCGTCTGACACCGAGTCATCAGAAAATTTGAAGAGCAGAACTCCTCATCGTCAGTTACCAAAAGTGTTTCGGAGGACGGAGCTGATGACAAGAAAATCGGAGGAATCGAAGACGGTGAAGGTCCCCATGACAAACAAAAATGCTATTCAGTCTCACTCCGAGTCACCAGGAACTTCGAAGGACAAGACTTCTGGGCTTCAGCATTCAAAATCTATTCGGATGACTGAAGTCATGAGAATAAGACATGAGGAATTGAAAAAAGTGAAAGCCGACATGGCGGATCAAACTGTTACTTCGTCTGACACCGAGTCATCAGAAACTTCAAAGGACAAGACTCCTCATCGTCGGCATCCAAAAATCACTCGGAAGTCAGAGCTGATGACAGATGAATATGGGGAATCCAAAGCAGTGAAAGTCGTCATGGCTGATAAAAATGTTGTTTCGTCTGACACCAAGTCATCAGGAACTTCGAAGGGCAAAGCCCCGCATCTTCACCCCATTGCTGTCCGGAAGTCGGAAGTCATGAGCAGAAAAACTGAAGAATTGAAGAAAGAGGTCTCCACGAGGAATAAAACTGCTCTAGAGTCTAACCCTGACTCAAGCGAGGATGAGCTACCTCCAAAGAACTTGGATTATCTTGAATCACTACTCCTGACATCATCGGATGAAGATGAATCTTCTGATAAATCACCGGGGAACGATAAGAAGAAGGCATCTGAAGCAAGACGGGCACGAGATCTACGAATTACTGTGGGAGATTATTACGTTCTGGTTTCGGATCGTAAATTCTTCGAGACGGATTGGGCTACATATTATGAGCGTGAAGGTCGCCTCTATGTCTGTAAGGATTGTCCGGAGATAGCATCAAGGAAGATTGCCGTCATTCAAGATCACATCTGGGTGAAACATTGTGAAGGACGATTGGTGTGTCCTTTTTGTCGTGATCCCCCATATTCCATGCAGTCGAGGTACAGATTCCTGTATCACTTGAGGAGAGAGCATCCCGAACAATGCAAGTCCAAATAAAAAATTGAAATGAAGGCAGTTCTTGTTCAAATAATCGAAAAGAGGTCGTTAAACGTAGTATATAGAGGAATTCCGACACGTGTGTTAGATATTGGTATACACCAGATACTATTATCGTTGTTGGAATTCGATTGACAGTTCTATTGTTTTTATGTTGCAGTTGAACATTCGGTACTTTTTCCATAAAGTCACATTCGTCAGATGATAATTTCATCACCTGATGAAATAATGTACTAATATCTGAGGTATTCCACGCCAAATCAGTCAACCGCTGACCCTCATCCTCTTGGAAATTGATGGCGATTTTTTCTACGATTGGGGAGGTTGAAAAACTATATCTCAAATTTTTTCAGATTTTTTCAGCAGCCCAGTTCGGAGATATGATTTTTGTTTAGTTTTTGCAGTTTTTTTCAATAACTCGAGTTCTATCCATCCGATTTTGATTTATTAAGCGTGAAAATTTTTCATTTTTTACTGCCTATAAAAATATTTTTAGTGAAATGTTTTTTTCGATCTCTAGATACGCATAATAACGACTTTTCGAATAAAAAAGTTGAAAAACTTGAATTTTGCAAATTACGTCACGGCTGATTTGTTTCATTTTTTTTCAGTAATTCTTACAATCAAAATCAGTATTTTGAGCCATCATACAAGTTGGGCATCGCCCTGGATCTATTTTATTTTCAATTTTTTCGTTTCGAAATCCCGTAAATTTGGTCGCAACACCTCAAAATGGCGTTGATTGACTTTGATTATAGACAGTATGAAGTGAATTTGATTGTATACCTATGTATTACATATTTTTTCGATACATAATCGAAGTAGTTTTATGGTGTTTTGACCAAATTTGCGAAATTTCCAAAAGAAAAAATTAAAAATAACATAGATCCAGGAGAATACCCAACTTGAATGACAGCTCAAAATATTTGTTTTGATTATGAGAATTACTGAAAAAAAAATTTAAATATCAACAGTGACGTAATTTGCAAAATTCAAGTTTTTCAACTTTTTTTTCCCGAAAATTCGTTATTATGAGCATCTAGGAATTGAAAAAAAAATTACTAAAAATAGTCGTATAGGTGGTAAATAAATCAAAATCGGACGAATAAACTCGAGTTATTGGAAAAAACGGAAAAATGTGAAAATAATCACATCTCCGAACTGGCCTGCTGAAAAAATCTGAAAAAATTTGAGAAATAGTTTTTCAGCCTCCCCGATCGTGGAAAAAAACGCCATTAATTTGACTCATTTTACGTGGAATATCTCATATACACTAATTAAAATTTCGGTAATTAGAATTATCATTATCAATCGTGACAGTATCAATCTTTATCATCGATCTTATTTGATTGCATCTACTACAAGACCGCTAGCTGTCTCCTATCGTTCATAATTCGGTTTTGAAATCGAAGTTATAACCCTGTATGGGTCGTATCACGACAGGCAGACGTATTCGCATACAGATAATAGAGGGATGTTCTCATTTTTTTGGATGAGTGAGATCAAATAAATAATATATAAGCCACATTATCGATAACTCACAATACTTAATCACTCAGTTGTTTGAAATTAATGTAAGTGGAGTTCATACTGTATTCAATCAATAAATCGAATGATTATTCGATATCAGCATACATGTAAATCCATATCAGTTCATAGATATGAAATTCTTCCAATAACGGCTGGTCACAGGAGAAAATTTATAGTATTTTATGACACTAGGCCCGATAAACCCCGATTCTAATCTCACTTCACTCGCTTAGGTGGCGGTTCCCAGGGAACAATTTTTACAGATATCAAAGTCCCCAGCAAGACCAATAAATATCCGGAAATTTACCGGAAAATTGTTAGCAGGGTTTTCGGGCCCAGTGACATTTACTTAGCAAAAGTAATTTTTTTTCTCAGTGTATCGCTCTACTGCGCTTGTCTTACAACTGTCCCTAAAAATATTAACATACGAGTTTAACGTTCCCCCTTTTTCACATGTGTAACGTACACTATTTTTTTACATTAGTGTTTGAAAAAGTCCTGCATAATTTTTTTGACACTGCTGACAGGTGCACTTCATGCCGAAATGTGCCTTTTCGTTTACTCGTGAACGAAGTCTTTTCGTTTACTTGTAAACGAAAAAAATGCACAGTTCAGCACGCGCTGAATGTAACGGTAGGCGGAAAAAATAGACCAAGAAAAAAGAGCCCACACACCCAAAACGTGTTAAAACCCACCCAACTTAAAAATTGGTCTCTTTTTTCCATGGTCTATTTTTTCCGGGATTCGAATGTAACATCACTGTAAATAGTACATTACATGCCCGAGCCTTGGAAAACATACCACCCTCCCCCACGTGCTTGCCATCCTCGCCTTCGGCTTGCAAGATTGCCTTCCGAGCCGAAGGCGAGGATGGCAAGCACGTGGGGGAGGGTGGTATGTTTTCCATGGCGAGGTGTGTATATTAATTTTTGTGTCGAGGAACCTGCAAAACGTCAATTTCGTCATTAGGCCGAAAAAAACTTTTCTGGCGAATATGGGGTACGAGCCGAAGGCGAGGGCTGCAATCATATTCGTCAGAAAATTTTTTTTCATCACGCTGTGACGAAAAGTGAACTTTTCGGCACGCTCCGCGTGCCTAAAAGTCCAATTTCCGCCACATTGTGATGAAAAATATTGTTCGTAACTCGTGAAAAAATGTTTTTCAGCTCGTGGGATTATATCACTCGCCTTCGGCTCGTGATATAAACCTCCCACTCGCCAAAAAACACTTTTTTGCACTCGTTACGAAATATACTATTTTAGCCGTATGACGAACAATATTTTTTGTCATGACGGCCGTAGACAGTAAGGGCCAAGGGCCGAAGGCCCTCGCCTTCGGCTCGTGCTGCAAACCTCATCTTCGCCAGAAAAGTTTTTTTCAGCCTAATGACGAAATAGGCTATTCTAGTCCCAAACGCACAACTTGCTTAGTCCGGTCGTAGTCCAATGGCCTCAAACATAGAAGCTATTTACACAGGGATTTCAATTCGTTCCAAATTTGGCTAAGATTATGTCTACTCCTGCCTAACTCTCGGTGAAAACATAAGTTTATGTCCACCGAGGCCTAAGTCTCAATGAAAAGGCCAAGTTCAGTTCAATTTTACGTTTCCACCGAGACTTGGGCCAGAATAAACATAAACTTAGCCGTACTTGGCGGGACTTAAAGCCCCGGTCTACAATTGTCAAAAGAAGTTCGTGAAGAACGTGAAGTTGCATCCCATATAGACTTACACAGGGGGGCGATTTTCCTCGTTTTATGTCGACATAAAATCATAAATTTCAACCAATCCTAGTTGAGTATTCCGAATCCAGGACTGTCTTTTTTTGCAATTTACGATTTTATGTCGACATAAAACGAGCGAAATCGCGTCCCCGGGATGCAACTTCACGTTCTTTACGAACTTCTGTTGACGATTGTAGATGCAACTTCACACTGTTCACGAACTTCTTTTGACCATTGTAAATGCTCCCATAATAGAATTCTCAGAAAGAAGTTCCCCTCTGTGATTGACCTCGAGGAAGGGGAAGCACCCATCTCGCCCCTCACGCGCATTCGTCCAAGCAGGGATCAGCTGAAAAATGGCTGAATACCTTATTGTTGTTCTTCTCAACGGCCGTAAGACTGTGGACCCCAATCCTAAACAGCCAGTGCCATAAAAATCATATAATAATATATTGTTCTTCTCATTCGCAGTGGCAATAAGAAACTATTGACAATATAATCATCTTCCCTAGATAACCCAGTTGAAAAACATTATTTATTAGCGTACAAGGTCAATGAGATTTGTTCTTAATTAATAGCTTCGTCTAAAACTAGAACGGTAAGTGCAAAAACTTTCGAATGCGAAGCTTCGAAACGACCGATATGTAGTGACAGGTTATCACTTCGGAACAAGTCCCAATGATCGATACATTTTTCAGATGAGTGAGAACAACAGTGATGATTTACAATCTCCACAAAGGAAAAATCACGAAGGACCTCCAAAACGCCGACAACTCGACACCCTCAACTCATTGACCCCTAACAGCTCAGACAATGACCCTGTGCTAATATCCAAATGGCAGAAAATCGGTCTCACCAGAGAGCTCAGAGTCGTTGTCACTGAGTTATCTGAAATAGAAGCCACTGTGTCTAAACTTCGGGGAATGAGACGAGAGATGAATAAGATTTTTGATGAAGAGGAACAAATTCTCGAAGTACAGGCAAAACTAAAGAGAGAGACCATGGAACATCTGGAACTGGATCTGGAGAAGTCTTATGCGCAAGAGGGTCTGGACCGCCCAGCGACTGTTGAAGTTGAAATGGCGATGAACAGAAGGATAAGTGGAAAAATAAAGACAATAATGTCCAACAATTCCAGACGTGTGAATCTTGCTAATACTGAGCAGGCTGCAACAACCTCAAAGTTTAAGGAGAGTGGAGCAGAGCCCCAGATGCAACTAGAGAAAAAGATAAAGATCGAGTTGGAAATTCAGGAATTAGACTCTCAAGATTCTGACCTCGAAGAGGCCAACTTTCACCGTATTCCCCGGAAGAAGAAAAAGACACCTGCCAATGGACTCGAAGAGCAATTGCAATCAGCAAAGAACGCCATTTCAACGACTCGTGAAGGTTTGAAGAAGAAATTGCGGTTTGAGGAGAAAATATCCAATGTCACAAAGAAATTGGATGATGCAGAGGGAGTTGAACAGCAGGGTGTGCGCCGCAAAACGACACGGAGTGAAGCGTCGTCAACCGCTTCAAAGAACAGGACCACGCGTTCGCAGGAGCCAGAGGTCGTGTGGATACATGAGAAAAGACATCAGTGGGCTAGTGATGAACTGCAGACGACAAATCGAGGAACCGAACGAAGATCCGAAGGCTCAAAAGCAATGAGAGAGTGTTCGACATCTAGAAATGCTGAAGAGTCTGACTCGGAGTTGATTGTCGTTGACGTTCATTCAGACGACAATGAAGCCCCACCTGGTGAGCAAGCTGACGACAAAGATAAGAAGCCATCTGAAGGAGAACAATCATCTCAAGGTCGCAGAATTATCGTTGGAAATTATCACGTTTTACCGTCGGATTCAAAATTCTTTGAGATTGATTATGAAAAACACTACAGATGTAACAGTGCCAGGAGGTTTGCCTGCAATAAGTGTTCCTCGAAGTCACACAGTGGTAGGCAGAGAATAGAGGATCACATATGGGTCACTCATTATGGAGGGCGCTTCAACTGTCCTTTTTGTCCTTCCTCCTTTTCACGGAGGGACGACATAAGACCACATATGAAGGTCCGAAAACATAAATAGGGTGCTACGATGTATTTACATTACTGTTCAGTCTCCACACAAGATACTTTCGTACAGAATACTAGACCTAGAATTCGTTAGAAAATTCTATTGAATCTCTATTAAACTTTCTATTAGTTTTTGGCTGATTCTATTGACATGTTCAATAGAAAAAGTCAACAGAATTCGATTTTTCCATATCACTTATTCTTTTCATGTATTTTCTATAGAATTTTCTCGACTCAAATTTTCCTAGTTTTTTCATTCTGTTTTTCTTTTCTTCTCATCAAGAAAATCAAACGAAAAAACTTAGAAAATTTGAGCCGAGGAAATTATATAGAAAATATCTCAATAGAATAAGTTATATTGAAAATTGAATTCTATTGACTTTTTCTACTGAATATTTTCTATTGAACATTTCAATAAAATCGGCCAAAAACTAATAGAACAATTCAATAGAAATTCAATAAAATTTTCTAACGAATTCGATAAGTTTTTCTATTGAATTTTTTCGTCCGTGTACCTCCACTTTTTGGTTTGAATGTTTTTCGTTTCCTATTTTCTGTACAAGATATTCGAAAAAGGGACTAGAATTGAGTGGGAATGGAGTTGAGGTATTCCAGAAATTTATTGGAAATATACGGTTCTATAATCTAGAACTTGGTTGCACATCAATTGAATTTCAAAACGGGCACTCGTTACAGTTTATAGAAAAATTCAACGCATCGGTCATAAAACTTGGTAAAATATATATATTTTTACATATCTTGCACCATGTGTTTTGCGTCCATTTTTCGGATAGAAATAGGGGAGGTTGGGGTAAAACGGACACTTGACTTTTTTAAAAATGTTAATGAGGAGTTGAAACATTCATGAAATTGAATAATTTTGTCAACACAAAGAACAATTCTTTCCTTTTGTGACGAGTCTAAACTGAGCTCAATTGATAAATTTGTTCCTGAGTTATGAACAATGAAAAAAAAGTCTAGTGTCCATTTTACTCCACCCTCCCCTATAGACAAAACAAAACAAAATTCAACCCCATTTTTATGAAAACTAAAATTCTAATGCAAGTCTCAGGCCCTTATTAATAAACTAATATATTCCGAGTTTCTAAATTGTTATTTTGAGAAGGAATAATACCTTCTTATCAAACATTCGTATTTCACATTAGGAATCGTATTCAAATGATCATGAAAAATGGAAATCGTCTAGTATCTTGTGCGAAGAATGTCAAATCAAAATATTTTCCCTGCCGAGCCTAAGTAAAGTGGGGGATCCTTAATTCTCGGAATTTTATTCCCCTAGAGTCCCTGTGATATCTTGTATAAAAATTGGACTGTAATATCTCAGTTATTACCACTAAGCCAATTTCTGCCACTCTCAAGAGCCTCAATTAGTTTTTACAGAATATCAGTTATCAACTGGAAATTTACCGATAGATTATAAAGGGATAGTTGTAATGCAACGAGAATTTATTATTCATTTGAAAGTAAAATTCATTGCAATCGGACAATTAGAGATATTTTGAATTCAATTACATGTGAAAGCATTTGATAGAAGAACCTGGCGCTTTCTTTAAAAAAATCGATTGAACTTATATTTGAATTTACCGTGTCATTTATTTGACATATATTTCATAGATGAACGTCTGGGTTTCGATTTTTTTAAATCAGAGTTCTTGAACATAAATATTCCAAGTTTTTAAAATTGTATTTTCATTTGTTTCTCACATCAAAATCCAAGAAAAAAATTTGGAAATTCATGTTGAAGAATGAGTTCTGTTAAAAAATATTTATCGAAAACCGCATGACAGAGTGGCGGTTAATAATCTTTAATAGTGCGTGGAAACCTAATGGAATTCTATAGAAAAATCCAGATAATTCTTATAAGATCCTAATAAAAATTTAACAGAATTCCTTCGAGAACGCGCTAGCCGTTTTCTATTAAATCTTTTCATAAGTCATCACAAAGAGACGAAGATCAGTGAAAATGTGGTAATTACCGGCACACTGCCTTTATCACTCACGTGCCAATCTCTGCAACTCGTATCTGGGAGGTACCTAACTCCTCAGTATTTTTCACTCAATATTTTTAGACTTAAGGTTGAGTGAACATGGTACTTAGCGGTTTATTTCTACAGGTGATACATGATTATTTTGAACTAGAACATACCATTTTTCAAATTTGCTTCAAGTGCAGAAACTGGCACATGCGATTTTCTTTTCGTTCCAAACATATTAGTTGTTTAAGCCTGTTTCATAAAAGATTCAATTTCTGAATGCGAAAAAACACTGAAGTAATGTTTTCTGATGTATAAGTGAATCGTAATTAAGTAAATGTATTTTTTTTGTATTCCGAGAAAGTGCGCGCTAGGCTTAAAGTAACAATAGTTGGGACATTGACTGTCTCATTTTCTGTACGGGTGAATAAATATAGAAAAGTAAAAGTGTTTGACACTTGAGTTTTTTTCTATAAAAACGTGATTAGATGAAGCGTACGCTAGTGGATTGAAGCGAACACGATCTCCTCCATTCAGAATCACTCCTCTTCATGAATCCTCTTCGAATCACTCCTCTTAACTTCTCATCACTCCTCTTCATAAAAAAATGGAGAAAAAAATGTCTTCTACTATTTAATATCTCAAACTTTTCGTTTGAGCTTATCATCACTTCATGATTGGAATTGACTCGAAACATCAAGCAAAAATGATATCATAATTATTGGGGGAGCCATTGCCATCTGCCCCCCCATTTAAAAAAAATCAATTTCAGTCAAAAAGGGGACAATGGTTTAAAAAAAAGATCGAGAGATTTTTGGAGGAACGGGGGAAAAATAGTGAACTGATTTTTTTTTACTAATCTCAGAAAGACCACCATGAAAAAAGATTGTCTGTACTTGAGGAAAAAGTATCAACAAAAGTTAGCTCAGAATTATCCGCCAAATCGTCCAAATTTCACGCTCCCTGGATTTGGTTCATACGACTTTTTTCCACACAGCTTGGAACTTATAAAATGGCCAAAACGACTTCTTTCAATGTAGCATGTGATTTTGAGGAATTGTTCCACTTAGTGGCTCATAATTAGCATTGGAAAAAATACATTAGAAGAAAAAAAACAATCTTGAATATTTCCAATAATAATTAATTAGAGTGCTGACGGCGGTAGCTGTGTGGTTAGACTGGGATTGCCATGCGGGGGACTCGGGTTCGATTCCCGGCTGGAGGAGCCAAAATTTGTGATGAAAGGGCAGGGGAGGTTGGGGTAAAACAGACACTTTTAACTTTTTTTAAAATGTTAATGAGGGGTTGAAATGTTGATAAAATTTAATAATTTTTTTTTCAATACAAAGAACAATTCTTTCCTTTTCTGGCGAGCCTAACTGAGCTCCATTGATCAATTTGTTCCTGAGTTGTGAATAATTTTAAAAAAGTCTAGTGTCCGTTTTACCCCACTCAACCCTATACGAGAAAAAGAAAAATTATTTTTTTTTAATGAGTTAGAGTTTCGGTTGGAGCTACAATAACTTGAGATCAAGTTCGGTGGCACTGGGGAGACTGATCCGCCCCCAACCGCACACATAACTCAACTTAGAGTTTCGGTTGCACTAATTTTTGTTTTTTTGGCTCAAATTTTTTGTCAAAAAATAGAAAAAAAAAGTTTTGGAGGCAATTTTTCATATACATAATTGGGGATTCGCTCAAGGACAAAAATGCAGTGTAAATTTCATGAAGGCGAAGGGAAATGCTTTGACTAATTCCTCCAATGAAAAATCCCAAAAAATTGGAAAAAGTTGAAAAAAAAATCGAGTCAATTTCCCTAGTAATAACCGCGTCAGTGAATGATAAGAATTGTAAAGCAATGATTATTGTGTTTTAGAATTGCGAAATATTCTTCTCTCAACTCGTCTACGTCCTCACTGGCCGATTTCACTTATTATATATTACATTTGCCTGATGGCAAGTTCCATTCAGTTTGTAAGTCCGTTTGAAATAAGAATAATCCCGCCATTCCTCAGTGTGGCGTTGTGCTAAAACATTCGATTGATAAGACATTTCTTAAGGATATCTTCAATACCGAGCCCTGTTAACCACCTGATCAGAATCTTGAAGATAATGTGTCTGAAAATTTTTGTGTCAAACAGTCTTCGGTACAAAAGAATGGTCGTGGCTGGATACCCCCACTCTCTCGAATTTGGCTTCGACTCGAAGTCCCCCACCCCTCAGATCCAAGATCATTCTTTCCTGGCGGCGATTATATTATCCTTCTGTGCGGTCGTTCCACTGTGGACTCTGTCCTAAACAGCCGGAGCCATTAAACATCAAATAATAATATATCCTGCTGCACTGCTCCGCTGTATATCCCCGGCACATGTCCAAAACCGAATGTCTTCTTCTTTGATTGATGATAACTTCACTTTAAAAATTTACGCGATATTCATCAGAACTAGTACTCGGTGCGAAGGAAAATAGTCACTCAGCTGTGGCGAAGAAGACGATTGAGGTTCCAGTCGTCATCTCGCTTGATTCGGCGAACGAGGAGGAGCATCTCTGCCAAGTAATCCGCCAGGAAGGCACCCAGTCATCTGACAAGTCGACGGGACCATGTAAGTCGATTGTCATTACTGTCAATGCAGAATGTCATCGAGAGATTATATTGGAATTCACATTCTAACCGATTTGTTTTGTATTTTTCGTGTCAGAATGTTGAGAACTAACGCAAAACAGAGGGGCGGAGGCGAGGACGAGGAGTTGGACGGTGCATGGGCTGCTCAACTGCCAACTTCTTCAACCCAGTGTCCCATATTTCGGAAACAGTTCGAGGCCCTTAGCCTGCAGCAGCGAGACGAGTCCATGGACTATGAGAGGAATACAATGGACGAAGGAATCGACCTTGAGGAGCCACTAAAAGCTTCAATCTCTCAAACAGCTGATGGCGTCAATGGCATTCCCACTTTTCAAGGTATAAACAAGCAGGTGACCGCTCCTATATTGCAGAAGACATGTGAATGTTACTTCATGTATTATTTGTATTTTAATTTTTCATTTCTATCAATTTCATTGGTAGTAAGCTTCCAGATGGATCCATAGCAATTCCCTTTTTCAATTTACCTCCAAAACTTTGTATAAACGGGTACATATATTTTAATTGACCTAGATAGAAGACATCGAGATGAGTATTTCGAAAAAAAATGAATTCGGTCAAGTAGTTTCTGAGATATTGACCAATATAGTTTTATACAAAAAATTGAATATCTCTGGAACTACTGGACCGATGACGCTCTGCTAAAATACCCACCTTTGGTATTGTGGAAGCTAAAATGATACCAAATTTAAACCTTCTATCTCAATTTCTTGTCGAATTATCGCGATTATAAGGAATTTTGGAAAAAAATAGAAAATTGGCAATATCTTGAAAACTTGGTATGAACGGCTATATATATTTTGATTGATCTAGATGGAAGACATCGGGACCAATATTTTGAGAAAAAAAATAAAATCGATCAAATAGTTTTTGAGATATTGACCAATATAGTTTTATACAAAAAGTGGAATATCTCTGGAACTACTTGACTGATGACGCTCAGCTAAAATACGAACCATTGGTATTATGGGAGCTACAATGATACCAAATTTAAACCTATCTCAATTTCTTGTCGCACTATCGCGCGTACAAGGAATTTTGGGAAAAAATGGAAAATCGGCAATATCCTGAAAACTTTGTATAAACGGGTACATATATTTTGATTAATCTAGATAGAAGACATCGAGATGAGTATTTTGAAAAAAAAAATGAAATCGGTCAAGTAGTTTTTGAGATATTGACCAATATAGTTCTGTACAAAAAGTTGAATATCTCTGGAACTACTGGACCGATCGGGCTGAAATTGTACATCAAACTTGAGCTTAATAGTACCTAGCATGAGGCAAAATGTCACGTCCATATCAATTTTCCCGTATTAATGTTATATTTTCTAAACAGTGGTAACCCAAAAACCGAACTATCAGACGCAGACATACAGACATTTTCTAAAAACATCATTTCTTTACGTTTCATACCATTCTATATATCATTTCCAGGCAAAATTAGAGAATGTCAAAATCTGACGAATACCATGCTTCCATTCGGAGGCAAAAACAATCATAAGCCTCATTCCACTTGCGGCAAACATTGAACATAGAATAATCCCAAAAATTGTGAATCTATAGGTGATAAATCCCCACATTATCCAGAGGGCCAACAAAACCCTTCAGACGAAGCTCACCTCCAGGCCCCAGCGCTAGAATTCAACGAGGATGAGCCAGGCATTCAACCCAGTAACCAAATGAAAATTGAAGTTCTTAACGTCGTCCCAAGGCCTCCCCAAATGCTAGTGAAGCTCTACAATTACCAGATGAGTGCCCTCACCTGGATGCTGAGCAAAGAGACCTGCAAACCAGCTGGTGGAATCCTGGCTGATGACGTGGGTCTTGGTAAGACCGTTACGACATTATCCCTGATAACAAGTTCACTGATGTACGACCCTCAGGTTTATCGAGGATTTCATAGGAACTCTGGGGGGACTCTCGTCGTATGTCCAACTCATTTAATGCAGCACTGGATGAACGAGATACTATCAAAGACTGACATTCGACGAGTTACAATCATCCATCGAGGAAGAGAGATGATTCTCCCGAATCTAACTGAATGCCAAGTCGTCATCACAAATTACGACGCAGTATCACGTGATTATCTGTCCAAGAAAAAGGCCCTTTTCATGATTTACTGGAAGCGAGCTATCCTCGACGATGCGCACGTCATCATCAACCGACATGCCCTCAAATCAATTTGTGTAGCACATTTGATGGCACAAAATCGTTGGGCCCTCACATCTGTACCAATTAACCCCATGACACTTGACATTTTTCCAATTCTGAGATTCCTGAAAGTTCGACCAATCGATGATCTGAGAGTTTTCAACACATTCCTGGACATGGGTGATCCAATCGAGACAATTCGATCCTTGGCGGAGGAGATCATGCTGAGGAGGACCCGTGATGACGTGGTTGCTGAAATATTGCAAGACCTGCCTCCCCCGTCAAATTGTCTCATTCGGGTTAAATTGACACCAGCAGAGAGGCGTGTTCACGACAGACTCAGCACCTACTCGAAGACACTTGTCATTCAGCTTCTGCATGAGAGGAATGAGAGGGGATGGTCGACGGCACTGGGGCCTGACAACCGGGGGGACAATGGTTACAACTCGTTGCAGGTGACTGAGGCTCAAAAGGCATTCTTGAAACGTCGAGGACCCGTCGCTATGCGTCACGTCCTGCCGTTGATTATGAGGTTGAGGCAGGTCTGTTGTCATCCAGGATTGATCAGCTGGGATTTTCCAGAGAGGGATTTGGTAGGGAGAGTTCTGCTGGAGAGAGAGGACTTTGAGGCGACTGGAGTCGATGATATTGAAGCTGGTGCCTTGGAAGAAACTCAGAGGGAGGTTTTGTATGATCTGGCGGAGTTTGATCGGGCCATTGGGATTGGTGATAATGATCTAGTTTGTGGGGACGAGCCTGTGTTTGATCAGGGAAGCGTGTCCTCGAAGATACAAGCGGTCTTGAGGCAAGTTCAGGAGATTGTCCAGAGGGGGGAGAAGGTGATTATTGTCTCTAATTTTGAGAGGTTCCTGCAGATGATTGGCCAGCAGCTGAAGAGTATTCCGGGGGTTCGGTATGGAGCATACGTTGGGATGACGAGTTTCAATTCCAGAAAGCGTCTTGTTCACCAGTTCAACAAAACTGATGTGATGAGGATCATGTTGGTATCCCTGAGGGTTGAAGGTCAGTGGTTGAACCTCACGGCAGCCAACCATGTGATCCTTGCGGATGTTCATTGGAATCCGCAGATGGTGACACGGGCTCGCAACATGGTCAGTCGACATGGACAGATGAGGGATGTGTTCATGTACATGGTTGTTTGCGAGAATTCTATTGAGGAGCGCATTCTGGGAATTCAGGAGCGAAATTTGGCGGCTGTTGAGAAAGGAGGGGTGCAACGGGCCAGGGCGCTTGGGCTTGCTGACATACGCTCGTTGTTCAATGTTTAGAAAAATCATCTTGGGAATGCCGCCAATATTGTTTTTTCATCAGGTTTATTATTTTTTATCGAAAGAATGAAGGAGGGAACATTGAAAATAGGGCGACAGAAGTAGTGGAGAAATTTTCAGTCTGGATAAGTTTCAGAAGATATCTTTTATTGATGGGAGAATGGATGAGAATTAGTTTTTCGGAGCTGAAATGATTTTTTCATCACGCTGTACGAAAAAGTTACTTTTTAGGCATGCGAAGCGTGCACGGCAGCCAACACGGCTTTGCATGCCTAAAACACCCCTTTTCCACACATTGTGATGAAAAATATCGTTCGATACTCGTGGGAAAAGTTTTCTTGGCTCGTGGGAGGTTTATAGCACGAGCCGAAGGCGAGTGATATAAACCTCCGACGAGCCAAAAAAGTCTTTTCCGCACTCGTAACGAAATATACTATTTTGACACTGTTGCTACGTTCACCTCGTGCCGAAAAGGCTTTTCGTTTACTTGTAAACAAAAAAGGCACAGTTCGGCCACTTGCTGAACGTAACATGACTGCCAAAAAATATTATTCGACACATGTGAGACGAGAATTTTCAACTTGTGTGATTGGCAGCCCTCGGCTTCGCCACGGGTCACATTTCACACTCGTGAAAATTTCGTCTCACTCGTATCGAAATATACTATTCGTTTACTTGCAAACGAAAAAGGCACAGTTCGGTCACTCGCTTTAGGATAATCGGGCTTGGAGTAGGATATTCAAAAAATGCAGCCAATTTTATGAAGATTTTTTCATTATTGAATGCAATTAGACACCGTTTGCAAAATTTAAGAGACCCCCGAAGCAGGGCAACATAAAAAATTATGTTTAAAGTTGCTGCTTTTACATGAGGTTAAATGGATGATTGATAATTTCAGTATTTTTTCCACATTACTGACTGGTCGATAATGTAGGGGAAATACATGAGTCATCGAGACTCCCTTTTACCTCATATATAAGCAACAATTTTAGAAATCATTTTTGTTACTGCCCTGCTTCTGGGGTTTCTCAAATTTTGCAAACGGTGTCTAAATGGATTCAATAATGTGTGAAAAAATCGCTTCATAAAATCGGCTGCCTTTTTTGACTATCCTACTCCTCGTCCGATTATCCTTAACGTAACAGTGTCAAAAAATATTATTCGACACGTGTGAGACAGGAATTTGCAGTTCGTGTGATTGGCAGCCCGCGACATCACACTCGTGAAAATTCCGTCTCACTCGTATCGAAATATACCATTTCATCATGTTCCGTTGGAATTGATGGGATTACACATCTAAACCGGGCATTGAAAATTCCTCCAATATCATTATTCTTTACGAACTCTATCAGAACGAGATCACAATAGTTATTAGTTATATCAACACGGATTTTGTGTTTTTTTAATTACATGAACGTTCATCATCATGAAGGTAAGAGAGGTTCATTTTTAGAGATGAGTTATTTTTTCTCCTTTATAGAAATTTTTAATCGTGAAAATCCGTTGAAGGTCTGAGTGGAAACTTTTTTTCAAGATAGAGTATGTTTTATGATCTGGATATCGGATGAGGAATTAAATGATTAGATACGTGTGCATTGACAATTTATATAATTCTCTATGAAAGGTATATTGACGGATCAAAAATTCTGTGATGATTATCACTTTGAATATTGTGTTCATTCGTAATGTCTAATGTCCCACTGTTTATTAGAATAAGTACAGAGTATTGTTACATTGTCTCAAGTTTTATGATGTTCTTAATATGTGCTGTGACATTTTCCATAGACAAATCATCTCAACAAACTTGATAATCAATGTTAAAATATATTGACAAATAATGAGGAATGAAAGAAAAATGGTGGGACTAACCCAGGACTATAATGTCCAGCATTACCAGGAGACAAATATTTACAAAATCATTGATGACAGCGGGAAAAGGTACACTGGGAAAAAAATTATTTTTTCTAAATATTCATTTACTTGAGAGAAACATGTATTTTTTCAAAATCGTATTTCTTCAATCGAGTCATGCTCAGACGAGCCTGATTACGTTTCAATTACAACAATCATATTACTCTAGAGGATGACTATGTTGCACATGACCTTGGATGAATTCCTTCAATGATTATTCACTTTCCCTAATTTTTGCTTCCGAATGGAAGCTTTGAAAATGCAATTTTTTCGATTCTCTAATTTTGCTTGGAAATGACTCAGAGTGGTCTGGAACGTCGAGATATGATGTTTTTAGGCGATGTCTGTATGTGTGTGCGTTTGTCCAGAAATGTGTCAATAACTTCAAAATCGTAATTACAAAAAAGTTGAAATTTTGGCTCATAGTTGGTACCAACGAGATACAAATCTTTGCTAAATCTCAGCCTGATCGGTTGAGTAGTTCCTGAGATATAGTGATTTCTCAAAAATCGTTTTCGCAAATATCTCAGGAACGGCTTGACCAATTTCATTTTTTTTTTCAAAATATTTGTCAAGAGAGACCTTGTTGAAAATCATCCTTCAGTCGGGCTAAATGTCGAATTTTGCTCGCTCGGAAACCTTCCGGCATCGACGAACACGCACGAGGACGATCGTGCGTGTCGTATCTTTAGTACGCCATCGAACCTCATCGAGTGAAAGTGCCGGAAAATCATCGCAACTATTATCGAACATTATAATCGCAAATCATCTTTCTTTGTTAAGTTGTATACAGTCCACTCGGAAATCATCTATTTATTAAACTTTGTGTTGTGTAATTTTTCAGTGCATAATAGTTTGTTTATTAAAGAAAACTCATCAAATTACCTCCGGCTAATTATCAAACCGTTAACCCGAACCTCACTTTTCCTCCCGACCACCCGGCTCATCAAATCGTAATTGATTTCCAACATTGGTCCTTCGAGACGGATAGTGGAGTGTAAAAGTGCGGTGTTGAAAGTGGATAAGCATCAAGGACAGGGACAAGAGACAGTGTGGTGAAGTGCAGTATCACGTGTGAAAAATCAACGCGTTTGTGAAATAGACGCTTTGTGTGCCACGAGGCAATTCGGGGTTCACAAGAGAAACAACGTGGACAATCACCAGAAAAAATTCAGTGCTATTCATCCGGAATAAATTCCTCAGAGGATTAGTGCTGTGGCCTCATCGAAGTTTGTTCACATCGTACGCTGCGCGAATTGAAAATCATCGTTGACACTCGGCGGATTTTGATACTCATCGGATTCCTTCATTCTCAATCCGTCCGACTTTCGGCAGTGAACCTCATCAGCGTGAGTCGAGGAGGCATCCCCACTCTCGCTACACTCGTATTACGTATATCGGCGTTCAACGTGCGGGTATCATCATCTCTCTCACGGAGTCTCAACGCATTCATCAAAATTCGAAAATCTACTCGTTCAAACCACATCACTACGTCTTCAGAAAGTCATCAAGTTTATCAACGCAGGGCAACTCAACGAATGAACAAGCTTGACAGAGACGTCAAGGACGTTGGCAGGGTCGACAAAATTTCGGAGAATTATCAAAATTCAACTTTGGAAAATTCATCATCGAGAGAACATCAACGCAATGGATCATCTACTCCGAGCCCGGGAAAGCAGGAAACATTTGGATGGAGAGGTAAAGTATCATTTATCTTCTATCAACTTCGGCAAATGATACCGCCCTCATCCATTGTTTCTTTCCCGAGGTAACTCATCTTCAAGGACATCTACAAGGTCAACGGCGATTGAGAGAATTTACGACTCTCTCAACTCTCCAGAGATCTCAACGGTCGAATCTTCAGGGGACTCCAACTCCGGCAAAATCATCAGTCATCGTCATAGCAGGTTTCTCGAGTCATCAAAAACGAATCGGAGCTGTCGGCATGGCGGGCGGCATGATCAACACTTATTACGACAGACCCATTATCAGCTCTTCAACTTCAAGTCACTCATCATCACGTGGTACATGGTTTAGATCCACAGAGCTCTAGCGAGCTTATCCAACAGTAATTCATCCAGGAAGCTTGATCTAATTTACCAGGAATTTACGACTCCGGTGAATTGGGTTGAGTCCTACGTCATCGCAATCATCAGAGGAAATCAACGGGAAGATGCCTGTCTACAATCATCTGGTCCATCATCGCGCCAAGACACAGCATCACCAATCAAATCATCTGTCAGATCACTCATCGAGATGAAGAGGTCATCGACACCTCACAATCAGACTGGAGATCATCATCAATCAGAGGGGTACCACCTCGGAGGTCATCATCAATCAGAGAAATACCACGTTGGACAACAACGCCATTCAAAACAACGGCGTGTTGGAGATCTTCGACAATCAGAGAATCATCAGAACACTCATCAAGGGCATCATCAACAATCAGAGAAATACCAGGTCACTCATCAACGACAATCAGATCCACAACCATTAAAGCAGGTGGACACCATCAACGTTCTGGAAGCTCAACGAATTCCTCAGGGAACATCACAACTGGTAGTCTTGGCAACAGCTAGGGTCAACGCCCTCAATCATCAAGGATTCTCAAAGCCAGCAAGGATCCTCATCGACCAGGGTTCCGAAGTATCACTGATTTCAGAACGCTTGGTCAATCAATTGCGATTGGAACGAAAGTCATCATCACTGGTCATCATCGGCATCGGAGAAACATCATCGGGGAACACACGTGGGGTTGTGAAACTCGCCTTACAACCGAGACATGACCCTGCTGTGCAGATCATCGTGGAGACTCACATCCTGAGCAAGTTGACGGCTGAAATACCGCCATTCACTTGCAACACATCAACCCCACTTCAACTAAGAGGACTACAATTGGCAGATCCTCAATTCTTGAGACCTGGGGCCATCGACCTCATCATTGGAGCTGACGCCTATGGGAAAATCATCGGAGAGAAAATCATCAGGTTTGAGAAAACCGAACTTATTGCTCAGCAGACCATTTTTGGCTGGGTAGTATCGGGACCAGTTTGTTGTAACGACTGCGTCGCCAAATCATCCTTCAAAACATCAACGCAGACGGCGAATCAACAATTATTAGAACTCCTAAAAAAGTTCTGGCTCCAGGAGGAGCTACCGGATACATCATCAACAGTTGTCATGAGCAAAGCTGAAGCCGAATGCGAACAACACTTTATCGAGACTCATCAGAGGGATTCGTCGGGACGTTATGTCGTGCGTCTCCCCTTTAAATCATCACCAGCCGCCTTGGGAGATACAGCATCAACGGCCAAGAAACGGCTATCTAAGCTATTGGGAAAATTATCGTCAGATCCAGTCACTCATACCCTCTATAAGAAATTCATCGAAGAGTACGAGGCC